TTCCCTCCCTTTTTCATTCTTTCCTCCCTCCCTCCCTCCTCCTGCCTGGGAGCCCCTTCCACCACTCACTCCCACCCATCTCAGCCCTCTTCTCTCTCTAGGTCTCAGTTTAAACGTCACCTACCCCCAGATCTCATCGGCGACCCGCCTCCCCCCCCACCCCCACACTGGGTCGACAGGCTGGGCTGGGCTGCCCCCCAAGTCCAAGCATTTTGGGAAAATGGGACTGGACTCTGGGACGATGTTTTTCAGGGTGGTTTCTTCTCTCAGCAGACATCAGGGGGCAAAAAAAATCTGGAGAGGTGTAGAAGTCTGGACCTCAGAAGAAACACCCTCTGCTGTTGCCTCTATAAACACGAAGCCCAGAGAGGGCAGGGAACAAGGCCGAGGACACGGAGCAGGCCCCCGTAGCAAGCCCAGGGATAGAGTGGAGGGAGCCGGGATGAGATCTCTGGCTCTGGCTCTTCCTCCCCATGAAATTGGCAGGATACGTGATGACACAGTCATGAGCGCCTTCAGAACCATCCCACTCCTCGTGGTTCCAGAAAGAGTCCAACAGGGACTTCAGATGCTGGAATTGTCAGGCAAGGACTGTGAAACAACACTGCTTTCCAGGCTTAAAGAACGAAACGCAGTTTTAGAAACATCTTTCAGAGAATGAGGGATAGTCGGGAGTGACAGAGCCGACTTTGAAAAGAACCAAGAATGTATTTCTTAGGACCCGAAATGCAACACTCGTAAGTGCAGAAGTCTAATGTAGGTCAGACAGGATCGAAGAGAGAATTAGTGAACTGGAGCAAGGGTAAGAAGAAATAATAATAATAATAAACCAGAAGCACAGAAAGGCAATAAAGAATGGAAAATACAGAAGAGAGGGAAGGAAACGTAGGGATTAAAAGGACAATGGATACATGTTGTTTAATCTGAATCTCAGAAATAAGAGAGAGACAATGGGGTGTGTGCGTTATTTGAAGAAATCGTGGCCAAGACTTTTCTAAAACTGATGACAACATCTATCCGTAGATTCCAGAACCCCAGTGAACCCCAAGAAAAATAAATAAGGGGAATCCACACCTTGACATACTGCAGTAAAACTTCAGAAAAGCTAAAGAAAAGAGAGCAAAACTCAAAGCAGCCACGAGTTAGAGGAGTAAAGAGAGAGAGATTATATTCGAACAGAAAGGCAAGTGGGCTGCTAACTTCTCATCTCCAAAAGCCAGGGTCAGAAGACTATAGACGGTATTTTCCCATGGGCGTAAAGAAAGTAGCTGCAATCTAACTTTTCATATCCGACTAACACGTCTGTCAAAAACGAAGGCAAAATAACGACATTTTCTGATGAACGAAAGTAGAGAATTTTTACCACCCAAAGAGCCAGACTAAAAGAATTACTAAAAGGTATTCTTCAGACACTTTTGGACAGGAAAATGCCGAAGAAAATGACCAATAGCAGCAGGGTAAGAGACATAGCCAGTCAGAACAACCTCCAGGGCTGTTCCTAGGGCCTCTGTCCCCAACATTGTGGGGAGTAAGGTAGACACAAATACTCCCTGAGCTTTCTTGTGGCTTCAGCTCTGTGCTCAGGGGGTGTTCATTATGTTGTATCTGGTATCTCTAGGTGTTTCTAGGTATCCAATAGCAGGAGTATGTTCAAATAGTTTAGTCTTCCATATTCCAGACTTTGAAAACCTGCATGAGTCTTGCTATGTATTAAATAGTTCCTATCTGGAAAAGTTCCATCAACTTGCAATGTGTGAGACTCCCGATTTTAATACCATCACGCTAGGAGTGGAAGTGATCGTTTTTATTTGTAAATAACTTCACAGATTTTTTTCTTTAAAGTCCTTTATTGTTGTGTTAATTTGCATGTCTTTGTTTACCAAAACAAGTAGTTTTCAAAGATTGGATAACCATATCATATGAATGAGAAAGCCAAATCTCAACAAGAACAGCGACTAGGCCAAAACATGGTGAAATAATAGCTGAAGGATATGGATAGAAAGTGTCTAAGTCGATTGTAGTTGAGAACAAACATAAAACGAAAACATTTGCAGGAAAAGAAAGATTGAGGAAGTTACCACCAACAGAAGTTCTAAAAGATGAACTTCGAGGAGGAAAATGTCCCAGAAGGATTTTCTAAAATTCAAGCAAAGAATTTTAAAATGGTAAAAATGTAGGCAAATGCAGGCAAGGATGGTGGATAAAGAAACCAATAATGGTTCCTAGTTGTGTATATAAAACACAGAATGGAAATATTGGGTAGCAGTATAGAAGGAGAAGTGGTGGGCACCCACACTAAAATATTGCTTATTCACAGGTGACACAATTGTCGTTGCGGAAAATCCGAAAGGATCAGCACACAACTAATTGAAATCACGGATGAATTTGGTGTAGTCAGAAGGTGCAAGGCCGTTACACAAAAATCAATCCAGTTGTTTATTGGTTATACTGGCAATGAACAGTTTGAAAACAGAAATGTTTAAAATCGATAACATTGATAATGGCATCATGAAAAATAAAACACCATGGACCAAATTTAATGAAACCAACAGGTGCATAAGTTGACATTGAAAACTATGAAACATTGTTCAGAAAACATGGTAAACTCTAAACTACTCCCCTAAAGCACCCCCTCTGGGCCCGTGATGGCACCTCCATGTGTCTGGGGGACCACAGTGAGGGGACGGCAGAGGGAACAGGAGAGGCTCTGGCTCCGTCAGCACCAGGGACAGCGACCACCCCAGGACTCCTCGGCCTCCGCAGCTGCAGGGGCGCCAGCCTGCTCAGGTGCATCCCATGCGCTCCTGGAGCTCAGAGTCCAAGTCCTCAGTGTCACGCAGGGTCCCGCAGAGCAGAGACCTGCGGGGATTACTTTTGAAAAAGGGGGAAAATATCACCAGTGAAATATGTAAACATGTAAATACCTACCTGTGCATTAACAGCTGTAGTCTAAGCTGAATGCTATCCATGCTAGGGTATTTTTACACGAATATGACGACTAGGATCTTATCCATTCATTCACTCTCCACCCCACTTTTGAGACAATGTCGCAGACTCTACACGAGGTTCTGCACCTCACGGTCTTACTTGGTATCATATCTCGCCTCTCTTGACACGGGAACACACAGCAAGGAACGTGCATTTTAAACAAACCCGTCTTCATCGATGTTACCACTGGTTACATTTGAGTCCACTGCCATAGAGGATCTACCTTCTAATGTTCTTTAAAGGGACAGACCATGAGTGTGTGTGTGCGTGTGTGTGCGTGCATGCGTGTGTGTGTGTGTGTGTGTGTGTGTGTGTGTGTGTGTGTGGTGAGCTCTCCATCCCGGGGGGCATACAAGCAGAGACTGCCAGGGGTGCAGGAGCTCGGTGTCGCCCATGTCTTCATGGGCAGGCGGTGGCACCCACGCACTGACCAGCCACCGGCCGCCCACACGGCTGGAGTCTCCCCAGGAATCCAGCTGTGAGCAGAGCCCGACGCCTGGCGGTGTTCACGGTCCCCGTTGCCACTTCCCCGTGGAAACCCCTTCTGGATTCAGGCCCGGCTCCCCGAGCCCAGCAGGCGCTCCCCGAGTCATGGCCGACAGCCGCAGAGCCAGGCGGTGAGGACGGCGGACCCGCAGGGCCCTTCTTCCAGACGGCGCGAGGTCCGCATCTCCAGCCCCGGCGGGGCCAGTCCGAGCCCCGGTGCAGCTCACTGGGCCACGGCAGCGACCTCGGCGTCGGGGAGCAGCCTCACGAAGCCCTCGCTCGGCTCACGCAGTTTACGGACCGTGTCTCTCTCGGGTGTCGCCACGGTCCCGAGAGGTGCGTTCTGCTGAGACGGCCGCTCCCGGACGCAGACGCGCGCAGCCCAGGCGCGGAGCTGAGGCTGGGTTGGCAGGGGGCCCCGCCCGGCCCCGCCAGCCCTGCCACTGCGGCAGTCACCTACATACCTCCCAGACTCGGTTCCTCCTTTGTAAAGTGGAAACAACAACGGTGAATATAATGGAAGGGCTTAAAACAGGCTCGGCGACTTGTGCTGGCTAAGGGCGGTGGCCGCCATCGTTGCTGTAGGATTCTGCCCACCCCGGGCAGCCTAGAGCAAGGACGGGGCGGCACGGGGACTCTGCTCAGGGTCCCCTGGCTCTGCCCTCCCTGCCTGGACCCCGTGTGCTCACGGCCCCTCTCAGCCCCACCCCCGGCGCCTCCCCTCTGTCCTTGGATGCTGAGCCTGGCCTCCGGGTTTGCCCTTCTTCTGTCACCCAAGCTAGAGTGCCGTGGCGTCATCATACCTCACAGCAACCTCCAACTCCCGGGCTCAAGCGATCCTCCTGCCTCAGCCTCCCGAGTAGCTGGGACTACAGGCATGCGCCACCATGCCTGGCTAATTCCTTTCTATTTTTAGCAGAGATGAGTCTCGCTCTTGCTCAGGCTGGTCTCCACCTCCTGGCCTGAAATAATCCTCCCGCCCCGGCCTCCCAGAGTGCTAGGGTTATAGGCGTGAGCCACCGCGCCCGGCCACCAGCTGGGCCCTTTGTGCCTAGAATCTGACGGGAATAATCACAGACTGGATTGTTTGTTTCTGTCCCTAGCAGCCAGGTCTCAACCCAGGGCTTGGGCGGCCTCCAGGAAGGTCTCGAACTTCTGCCAGGCTGCGCAGCCGGGGCCCCCGGGCTGTCGTCTCCAAGCCTCCTCATCCTGCCCTGAGAAGGGGTGCGTGTTCCCCTGCAGGCCCGTGCTTGTGGAGGAGCTCAGGAGACAACAGGGACAGGGGTGGCCTGGCCCTGCTCGCCTGGCATCCGAACTCCCCAGTGGATGCGTTTATCCGCCACACCCTGGTGTGCAAACCTTGGGGCTCCCAGTGGCCTTTGATCGCCCCTGACCCACCCCCACCCCCCAACGTGGGAGGTGCGGTGTCATCCCGAGCTGCACCCAGCTGTTCCCCGCCCGCCCCATGAGTTGGCCGCCTGCCCGGGCACCGCCGCCCGGCCCTGCCCCACCCGGCCCCGCCCAGCCCTCCTGCAGCCGCCTTTTGCCAGGGCCGAGGGGCAAAGACCGCCCAGAGGGGAAGAGGAGGTTGTGTGCACACGCTGCTCCTGAGAGAAGGTGCCAGGCTGGGAGGGGGAGCTGGGGGGTTCCGGCCTGGGATGGGGAGGGGCTGCCCAAGCTGGGGGTTCCAGGGAGCTGGCCCTGGGAACCGTGGTTTCCTGGAAGCTGAGCCCCTGGCAGCCTCCCTGTGATTCAGCTGGGCCTTTCTACACTACAATCAGCTTGCTCCCTCCTCCTCCTCCCCCTGCTTCTGCTCGGTCTCTTCCTCCCCGTCCTCTTCCTGTTTTTCTCCCTCTTACTCTGCCTCTTCCCCAGTTGACCCTGTGTGTCCCTCTCAGCCCCTGTGTCCCCATCTCTGAGCCCTCTGCCGTTGCCCCCTGCACCGGGCCTGGCGCCCCTTCCCTCCCCTGGGCCTCAGGAGCTGCCCCTGCACCCGCCTGCCCTGCAGGATGCCCCAGCTGAGCCTGTCCTGGCTGGGCCTGGGGCCGGCGGCCGCCTCCCCGTGGCTGCTGCTGCTGCTGCTCGGGGCCTCCTGGCTCCTGGCCCGCGTCCTGGCCTGGGCCTGCGCCTTCCACGCCACCTGCCGCCGCCTCCGCTGCTTCCCGCAGCCCCCGATAAGGAACTGGTTCTTGGGTCACCTGGGTCTGGTGAGTGTGGCAGCAGGACGGGGCTGGGGGTCAGGGCGGGGGACGTCCCCAGGGCCGGGGGTGAAGGTGGGCTGGGGTGGGGCGGCAGAGAAGCGAGGGTGGCGGCTCACTCTCCCCTGCTCGCTGCCTCGCTGCTCTGCTGTGCCGTCCGGCCTCTGTCCCCTCCCCGTCCTCCCACCCGGCCTGCTCAGCGTCCTCTTCCCGCCTGTCTCCCCCCTGGGGCACCGGGGGGCTCGCGGGGAGGCTGCACAGGGCAGGGCCCTGGTGCCCCGTTCTGCACAGCGGGGCTGGAGGGCTCCTGAGGGCACCGTGCAGGGTCTGTCCCTGCCGGCCCTGTCCTGTGTCTCTGGGCTGCCACTTCCCGCAGGGATTAGCTGGGACGCCCCAGCCCACCCCAAACACACAGGGCCGCCGCTGGGCCGGAAGACAGCTGGGGACAGTGTCCCACCCCTGCCCTTCCTGGGCACCGTCCTCTCCCCCTGCTCTTCCCCACGGGGACGTCCCAGCGGGCCCCGCTGTGCAACCTGCACGACCGTCGCCACTCACGTCCCCTCTCAGGAGCCGCCACTGCCCCTCCTGCCCCTGCCCTCTGACCCTGACCAGAACCTGCTCTGTCCTGCGGTGCCGTGGCCTCAGCCTGCTCACCTGTAACGGCAGGGGGGACAGGTGTCCTTAGGGAGGGTGCGGGGGACTCGCTGCGCTCAGAGCCCGGGCTGCAGAATGCGCTCGTGGGAGGGAGCCAGGGACCCGATGGGCAGTCAGAGCTCCCGTCCGCCCCCCTGCGGTCAGCCGAGGCTGGAAGGTCCCGAGGGTGCAGACCCCTCTCCACAGGAGGCCCTGAAGCCCACGTGCACCTGCCGGGACAGGAGGGCAGGTGGAGACCTGCCTCGGGTCACGTCCTGAGGTCACACTGCTGCCCACACCCCTCTCTGTATGGGGACGTCCCCGTGTGGCCGCCCCCAGGCCGGATCCACTCCCAGGACCAGAAAACCCGTCCTCTGCAGCCCAGGTGGCCCCTGTGTGGTCAGATGGCGCGTCCCTCCCTCTGCTCGGGGACGCACCTGTGGCGTGGGGGGGCGGCCCCGGGAGAGAAGCATGGGGGGGACGCAGAGACCCCTCCATCTGTGCGGCACGCATACACGCCATGCACTGCAGAGGCCCGGGGGACCCGCGGTGGCCGCTCCTGGGACGGTGTCAGTCCGTGTCCTGCAGAGACGCAGAAGCATGGGGCTCACAGACCCGGGTGCCGCTGGACAGACAGGAGGGGCCTCCCTGTGGGAACCGGCTCAGGTGACAGAGGAGGCCGAGAAGTCCCACCTGCGCCAGTGTCCGCGGGCTGGAGACCGGGCGCCGGAGCTGCCACTCGGTCCCGTCCAGGGCCCCGAGCGGCTGGAGTTCCCACGTCCAGGGGTGGAGAAGGCGGAAGGATGTCCCAGCTCCGGAAGACAGAGCCGAGCCCCCTCCTCCGCCTTTCTGGGCCCCCAGTGGCCTGGAGGGCGCCTGCCCGCGCCGGGGAGGGGGGATCTTCCTTCCTCGGTTTACCAACCCAAACGCTGATCTCTTCTGGAAACTCTCGCAGACACACCCAGAAATAAAGCTCGCCGGCTATCTGGGCAACCTTTAGCCCAGTCACGTTGGCACCTGAAATTAGCCATCGCGGGCGGTGACGGCCCTGCCTTGCCTGCAGATTCCCCCCACGGAGGAAGGATTGAGGGAAGTGACTCAGCTGGTGGCCACCTACCCCCAGGGCCTCAAGTTCTGGCTGGGCCCCGTCATCCCTGTCATCACTTTGTGCCACCCGGACATCCTCCGGCCTGTCCTGAACGCCTCAGGTACCCTGCGGGGCTCGGGGTGGTGGGGGCCGTGCACCTCCAGGGGCTTCCAGAACCCTCCTCCCCCAAGTTCCTCTGTGGCCCCTGCAGGACCCAGGTCCTTCCCTGCATGAGACCCCCCACCCCCACCCCAGCCTTGGTGTCTCCTCCCTGCTCTGCCGTCTGCTCCCTGCCCCGCAGTCCCGGGCACCACGGGGGCCCCAGGAGGCCCCTCGGTTGAAAGCCTTGTCCTGGGGGGTCACCCCAACTTCGTGTGGTCAGGAATGGACCCGAGACAGATGGACTGCGACAGCTCGGAGGAGAGCTGAGGTTCTCCTGGGGCAGCTGCAAGGCTTCCTGCAGGAGGAGCTGTAGGAGCTGGGGCTGCATGGATGAGGAGGGATTTTTTTTTTAAGTGGAGGAAGGGGGATGCCCTGGGCACCACTAGTGCTCCAGGCTCCCTGCCCGGCCTGGTGTCAGCCTTGCGTGTGCCCAGGCCTGGGGCAACGAGGAGAGCTGGTAGTGGGTGGAGGGCCTGGGCAGCTTGCATGAGTGTCACCACTGTGGGTCAGCTCCTTCTGCCCCACCCAGTGGCTCGTCTGCCCTAAGTTCACTGCTCTTCTGCTTCGGGCCCCAGGAATCTCCAACCCCAGTGAAGCCTGGTGCCCTGCCCCGGCTCTCTGCCCTCCCCTCCTTGGACAGCCCTGGCGGAGCAGGGAAACGGCAGCAGCCCACAGAGACTATGGCTCTGACGCTAAAATGCAGAGTGACCCTGGGCAGGTCCTTGCATCTGTCTGGCTTCTGACATCTCTTTCTGTTGTGAGTGACGGAAACTCAACCTCATGGGGTGTCAGCAGAGAAAAATCTATTGACCGCAAAGTCCAGAGAGGGTGGCTTTCAGGCACGGCTGGATCCGGGTCTGAAACGATGTCTTCAGCAATCTGTCTCCCTTTCTCTGGGTTTTATCTTTTGCTTCGCAAGGCCACCCTTTCCTCACGGTGTCCGTGAAGGGTTCCAGAAGCTTCGGAAAGCTTATCTTGTCCCCAGACCTTCCATAAGTAGTCCCTGATTCTCTCTGTGATTGTCCTGGCCTGGGTCACAGGCCCAATTCCTCATCGAGCCACTGGGACTCTGATCGCCCAGTCTTGGCAGGTGCGGGGCTTCCAGAGCTACTGCTTATGGGCACGAAGTAGTTTGAGGACAAGAACGCAGGCCCTGGATTCAGACAGACCCAGGCTCAGGTCTCCGGCGTGCCCCTGCCTACCGGGGAGGCCGTGGGTGAGGGCTTCAGCATTCAGAGCGTCCGTTTCTTTATCTGGAAAACGGGGAAGTGGAAAGACAGCCCGTTTGAACGTGGCGTTTACAATCTCTCTTGGCTCATTCTCTTTCTGTAACTGAAGAGCTGAGACTGGGTGATTTATACAGAAAAGAAATGTATACTCACCGCTCTGCAGGCGGGGAAGTTCAAGGCTGAGCTGTTCTCTCTGCCCAGCTTCTCGCGAGGGCCTTGTGCTGTGCCACAGCATGGCAGGAGGCGTCTCAGGGCAAGGGAGTTGGCCGTGCCAGCTCGGGTCTGCCTTCCCCTTCCTATAGAGCCACGAATGCCGCTGCCGGGACCACCCACAAATGCACTGATGGGCTAGTCTGTCCGGGAGGGCGGACCCCTCGTCATCCGATTACCTCTTAACGGCCCCATCCCTCAATTCCGCCGCTTGGGAATTAACGTTCAACAGAGTTTCCCAGGGGCAGACATTGAACACGCACCAGGATCCAAACGGGGATGGCGTTTTCTGTGCTGTCGCTGAGGCTCCTGGTGGCTGTGTTTGAGAACCTCGGCGGGGGGGGGGGTGTCTAGGGGGAGGCTCAGAGCAGAGGCCGATGAGACGCAGCACGAACTCCCCGGGCTCGGGGCTGAGTCTCTGCCTGGCAGGTCCTTCCCTCCGGCAGCCCAGAAGACTGTGCACTGGGTTCTGTTTGTTCTTCCCCAGACTCGGGCTTGGGGGACGGTTTCCTGCACACCCGGGGCCGGGCCAGCACCGCGGGGATGTGGGCTGCTGGCGGGTGAGGCCCCGGGGCCCGGGCGCCTGCGTCTCCCGCCCACCTGCAGCAAGCCCGAGCTCTTTGCTCCGGTAGACACAGCCCTGGTCCCAGCTTGGCCACGGCTGAGCTCTCTGTGCGGCCTCTGGTGGGTCTGGGGACGAGAGTGCAGGCGGGAGAGTCTGTGGCGGACATGCCACTGCCTCGGTCTCCCCTGGACTGACCTGTCTGACCCCTGTCTGACCTCTGGTCCTGATTGCTCCTGTCCGGGCATGTCTGTGTGACCACTGCTGCATGCTCACTTCTTGCCACGTGTGCATTTACACCTGGGTCCAGGTGGCACCTGGTACGTGTCACACCTGGTTACACCTGTTACACCTAGAATCATGGAGGTCGCCGTGTCTGGGCTCAGCTGCGGCCGAGGGCACTGGGAGCATGTCGGGCCTCTCTGGTCCTTGTCTGCAATGTCGCTGGGGATCTCCTTTTGCCCCTGCTTCTCACGCCGGGGCCGTATTTGGGGCCGGTCTGAGGTCTGGCACCCAGGGCCCCGCTGCGGACCGTCGAGGCATGATCTCGCCTGAGGCGGCCTTCAGGTGTGCTCGGGTCATACCTGCCCACAGTCTGGGGCCCACCTGGTCCACATCTGGGGCACGAAGAGATTCTATTCATATTTAAATCCTACCTGGGGTCCGGCTGAGGGGCCTGCTGGGCTCGTGCCAGACACTCTCAGGTCAAATTCAGCCCACGCCGTGTCATTGAGGGGTCGTCATGTGTGCCGTGGCTGTGTCGGGACCTGCTAACCCCTCGGGGTCAGGTCGCATGTGTGAGATCCCAGTCAGGGGACGGCAGAGAGCTCTGGGGCAGGCAGGGCACCCTGAGTTCTTATGAAGGCGTTTTGCAAGGCGTTGAGCTACGTTTGGGTGTTGCGGACATGGTGAATCACAGAGGAGCTGTGTCAAGGCATGACGGCGCGTGCTGTGCCGTGTTGGCGTGTGTGCTGCTCTGGTGTCTGCTGCAGCCTGGGCTGGGGGTCCCTCCGCTCCCCCACCCCCATCTCCGTCTGCACTTGGCCCCATCCTGCCATGCTGGGCTTGGAGGGGGAGGTGCAAACCACTGGGTGGGAGCCCAACCCCCACCCCAACCCCCTTCCCTCCACCCTGCATGTCCCCTGATTGTCCTCATTCATGTCAGCCGCCATTGCACTGAAGGATGATCTCTTCTTCAGGTTCATGAAGCCCTGGCTGGGTGAGTAGCTGCAGGGGAGGGGTGGGACAGCCTGGTGGGCAGGAGAAGGTGCTGCCTTCGACCACGGCCCTTGGCTGTCCTCCTAGGGGAGGGGCTCCTGCTGAGCTCCGGTGACAAGTGGAGCCGGCACCGCCGCATGCTGACGCCCGCCTTCCACTTCAACATCCTGAAGCCCTACGTGAAGATTTTCAACGGGAGCGTGAACATCATGCTCGTGAGTCCCCGGACATTGGGGTCCCAGCTGGAGCCTTGGGGCGGAGGGACCACAGACAGGTCTCATGTGGGGACTTGGCTCTGCGGGTGGCTTAGGGTCTTTTGCTCTTCCTCTCTGAGCCTTGGTTTCCTCATCTGTAAAATGGGTATAATAATCCCTACTGAAAAGGAGGTCAAGGTGAGGTCATGGCGTGCTGTCCTTGGCACTTAGTAGGTGCTCAGACAGCGTCAGTTTCTGTGTTTCTCTCACGGAAGTGCAGTGAGCTCAGGAGGGCAATGATGAAGATCACATAGCAGCTGCTGCTGCTCACAAACCACCTCCACACTTGTTGGTTTAATCAGTGTGCTCATGACTGCTGATAAGTCCACGGGACAGAGGGCTGGTTCGTGTGGGTGTGGGAGGGTCACTCGGGCTGTGTGACCAGCTGCGGGTCAGGTGGCAGCTTTGTGATCCTGGCTCAGTCTCTCCCCTGTGTGGGCTCGGCCGGCATCCGGCTGATCTAGGGTGTCCCCAGCGGGGTCACTGGACTCTCCCCCACGCGACTCTCTCCCTCCTGCAGGGGTCCCCGGCTGCCCCCATGGCAGAGACAGGGCTCCAACACACTGAGACAAGGCTGTAATGCCTGCTGGGGTTTGTGATTATCCGAGTTGCTATGTCATCATTTCCCCCACATCGTATGGGCCAAAAAACACAGCCAAAAGTCCAGCAGAGACTCAAAGCACGGTGGTTAAAATAGGCTCCGTCTCTGAATGGAAGTTGCCTAAAAATCACACGGCAAAGGATTTGGGCACTGGGAGACGTACAGAATTGGAGTCACGGATTTTTGTATTTTTATTTCAGACTATTATGGAGGTCCAAACATTTTGATTACAATTGCTTTAGTAACGTTTGAGTCAAAGTTGTAAGTGTGTTCATCACTGAGATACTGTGTATTGTACCTGTTAGGTGTGAGTTTCAAATCCCCTCCTGTCCCCTTCAACCCGCTGGATTTCTGACCAATATTATTTCCACATGTGCACATGAGTGTTGATCCATTAGGTCCAATTTAGTGGCGAGTACATGTGGTGTTTGCTTTTCTAGTCTTCTGATAATTCGCTTAGAAGAATGGTTTCCGGGTGGGATGTGGATTTTTGGAACTGCCTAGGATATTTTCCTTACTTGCAAGGTTATACCTTAGCGTGTTACTGTCTCCTGGATTCTGCCACAAGACGTGAGACTCCAGGGTCAGAGGCAAAGGGCAGTTGACTACTCACCGCACAAAAACATGTGCTCTTCTCGGTTTGCCTCCTTTTTGCAAGACACCCAGATCCCATGTGGGTGACACAGATGGGATTCTATCGATGGCTGGTCCTGGAATCTTTGAGTTACAGAGGAGGAGCACCAGGCTCACGGAATCTGATTGTATAGCAAACACGAGCCTAATATGCGTCCAGGGGCATCATGACCTCATCCCTCCAGGTTGTTCTCTGCAAGCACAAGGCTGGGAAGTTAGCCGGGTTGAAAACGTCAGGGCTTTGCATCCTTGGCATGCCCAGCCAGGACGCTCAGGGCCCATGGAAGACTGCTGCTACCAACACAGGGATACTTCTGCCGCCAATTTATAACAACAAATATGAGGAAAGCCAACATTTCTGAGCACTCACTCTAGGACAGAAATGATCCCTTGCACCAGTTCTGTTATATAAATGGTCTGATTGAATTCTAGTGGTCTTGTGAGTTAGAGTTTCTTTTTACCCCATTACAGAGAGGAAACTTGATGGCCAGAAAGATTAGAGGGGTTGCTCAAGTCTCCCCGGGTAGTAAGTCCCTGGGGGTTCGGAGCAGGGATTCTAACCTGGTTTATCTGGCACCAAAGCAGGTCAACTTAAATTTCCCTGAAGATTTGACAGGTGGGACCTTAGGGACGGGACTGAGTTGGCCAAGGGCACTCGTAGCACAGGGCCCAGAGCTGACACGTGAACTCAGGTCTCGCTCTCCCAGCCATGGTGTCTTCATCCGCTAATAGTAAAAGTTCTGCTTTCACCCAAGCCAGTCCTCCCTGGAGATGGGTACCCGGGCAGAGGACCAAGAGGCTGGTTCTGAGTGCGTCCATCCAGATGGCTGGGGTTGGGGACGAGCTCCAGAGAGCCAGGACCAAACCCCAGCTCCGTGCCCTTCTCCGGCCAGGCCAAGTGGCAGCGCCTGGCCTCGGAGGGCAGCGCCCGTCTGGACATGTTCGAGCACATCAGCCTCATGACCTTGGACAGTCTGCAGAAATGCATCTTCAGCTTCGACAGCCACTGCCAGGAGTGAGTCCTTGCCCGGGGCGTGGGGACTTGAGCCGTGGACCCTAGGGTGTAGGTGGAGGAGGGGACTGAGGACAACAAGCACAGGAGTGTTCTGGAGCGGGTGCGTGGTAGCTGGGCTGTGAGGGGCAGGGCAGGGAGGGAGAAATGTGTGAGGGAAGGCAGGGAGGCGGGACGAGCAGAGCACATGCAGCAGACAGGAGGAGCGGGGCTGAGGAGGGAGCCAGGGGCTGGATCTCAAGCACCCGGAACAGGCAGGTGGAGTGGGATGAGCCTTATCAGGAGGTTTCCAGGGAGACGTTGCGGCTTACACTGGGCAGGGTCAGAGCTGAGCTCTATGGAGAGCTGAGTGTCGTGTAGACACTAGACGGAGTTGAGTTTGGATGCAGGAGGCTAGGGTGGGGGCTGGGCCGTGGACCAGGCGGGACGGGATACCAGGTGGGCTGTGTGCTCGGGTTCAGGAAGGAGGAGGGCCAGGACTGGATACTGGGCGGGGGACAGAGGGGAGCAGGCACGTGTCCACGCGATGCTCTGGGTGCCTAGTGGCCCGTGGCAGCTCGCAGAGGTGGAGGCAGGCTGAGAGGACGGTCTGGAGGGTCACGTGTCACGGCTGACGCCTGCTGTGTACCTGTGGGGCCACCTGCTCCTGGGGACTCTCTTTCCCTCTGGGAGGGGGGTCCTGGCTGCTGGCGGGAAACGCTCCCGGGGTTCAGGTGAGTTGAGTCACCTCCTCCCCACTCCCGTCCTGCAGGAAGCCCAGTGAGTACATCGCCGCCATCCTGGAGCTCAGCGCCCTGATCGAGAAGAGAAGCCAGAACATCCTGCTGTACGCGGACTTCCCGTACTCTCTCACCCGCGACGGGCGGCGCTTCCGCCAGGCCTGCCGCCTGGTGCACGACTTCACGGACGCCGTCATCCAGGAGCGGCGCCGAGCCCTGCCCGGCCAGGGCGTCGACGACTCCCTCAAGGCCAAGGCCAAGGCCAAGACTCTGGACTTCATCGACGTGCTCCTGCTGAGCAAGGTGGGCCGCCTGGGACCCGAGCTCCAGAGACAGGACGGGGCGCTACACGTCAGATGTCAGATGGAAGAACTTGGGCTTGACCCAGCGGGCTCTGGGGGGCTCGGGAGTCATCTGAGTCGGGAAGGGGCCGGTCAGAGACGGGTTCTGGAGCGGAGTCTCCGCAGGGCAGCCGGCAGGGGACTGCTGAGTCTGGAGCTACGGCAGCCTCAGCTTTGACTCCATTCACGAGCTATTGTGCTGGTCTGCCGCGTTGTTACCTGTGTCCGTGTGTCTGTGTCTCTGTCCTGTCTGTGTCTCGGCTGACGCATGCGCTTGACCCGGGATCGGGGCAGCCTGTTTGTTACTCACGGCAGTAGCGGCAGCCCGAGTTGGGTTGCTGTGCCGGCTCCCACGCCCAGTCACCTCCCAGGGCAATGCGATGTTTTTACCTCTTAGTGAACCAGAATTTGCACCACAGCAGGGGGCCCCGTACTATGGGTCTTGGAGCTCGTAGAGAACAGCAGAAACATGTGTGCCTTCCTCCTTCCAGAGAAAGAGAGAGAAAGCGAGGGAGAGAAAGAGAGAGAGAGACAGAGACAGAGACAGAGATAGATCACGCTTTCTTCTGGAGTATAGGCTCCTCTCCAGTGAGATGCCGTGACTGTGGGTTTATAAGAAAAATGCCTTCAGGGGAGATAAGATTCTCTGTGTTTATCATCCTAGAAGGTAAGCAGATATCTTTGGGACAACACCTAATTTCTAAGCTCCAAGGAAAATTGCCATTTAAGCATCCTGAAACCCAGATTCCCAGTAAGTTTTTTCCGAGAAGCCCTCCTAATGCAGAAACATGAAAACATTCATGGATCACCGATTCCTCCCACCAGGGATGAGAGAGGAGGCGAGGCAGTCGGGCAGGAAGCCCAGCAGGCGAGGGCTCTGGCCACGGTGTCCTGGGAGATCTAGGAGAGCAGGGTGGGTTTGGGTCTCTGGAAGGGGGATGCGTCTTCAGAGATCCGCCCAGGGGAGACCCGGGAGTCTCAGAGCCGGTGAGACTTGTTGGGTTTTCCTTCTCTGCAGGATGAAGATGGAAAGCAGCTGTCAGATGAGGACATACGAGCAGAGGCTGACACCTTCATGTTTGGGGGTGAGCATCCCAGTGTGGGGACTACGGTCGGGACAGGGGTCTCTCCCTCCCAGGGGTGCGGTGGGTGGACCCCGATCACTCCATCCTCCCACCCTCCCTGAGAGCCAACAAGCAAGGGCGCTGTCCACCCCTCTGGTGCTGAAGCGCCTCCGAGACCCAGGTCCACCTTCTCCCCCCTCAGGCCACGACACCACGGCCAGCGGTCTCTCCTGGGTCCTGTACAACCTCGCGAGGCACCCGGAGCACCAGGAGCGCTGCCGGCAGGAGGTGCGGGAGCTGCTGAGGGGCCGTGAGCCCGCAGAGATTGAGTGGTGAGTGCGGGTCCTCACGGCCTGTCCCCGAGCCCCTCTCCTTGGCTCTCTCTGCTGCCGGGCAGGGAGGAGAGAAGCTGTTTTCTTTTATTCTACCAATATTTCTCAGTGGTGATCAGAGCAGAGCCCAGACACAGGAATTGGGAACCAGTTGGCCGTCAGGGGAAAGATTGCAGGGTTTGGACACAGAAAGGCTGAGGTTTTTGAGAGAATTACTAACGATGTGTGAGGTCTAATGATGCCAGCTAACACGTGTTCTTTAATGAAGTTTGTCTACACTCCCTTTCTTTTCTCCATACCATTGCTTTAAACAGCTTCCCTCACGGAGTGTCTGCTCCTCTGTGCCCTAATTCCTACCCCGCTGTGTAATCCAGGGATTTGCAAAACAGACCCAGAGGTAAAAGTTTCCATCTCTCATCCAGAACACCTGTGCCCCTCACCCACCCAGCCTCCACGTAGCAAACACTCCCGCGCTGCCCTCCGCCCCCAGTTCTGTGCCCGGCACCTCTCTGTGCTCTGGAGACCTGGGGATGACACAGCCCAGGGATGTCCCTTTCCGGTGCTCCCAGTCTGGTGGGGGAACAGTCCCCCATGAGACGTTCCCAGCCCACAGGAGCGTGCATAGAGTGGGGAGCGAGAGAAGCAGGACTGGGGGTTAGAAAGTGTCTCCGCTGAGTCCCCGAGTGGGGTCAGTAGACACTCGGGCGCAGCTGGGCAGCGGTGCTCTGGGTCAAGGGGACGGGCTGGCAGAGGTGTGGGGGGAGTCGACAGACACAGAGGGAGAGAGAAGTTTCAAGGGTCAACTTTACCCCAAGGGCAATGGGGAGCCAGGGGTGGTGTTTGAGCAGGCGAGGGAGAGGTCCGATCTGGGTACCAGAAAGATTTTTTGGGGGCTAGTGTCAACAGCATATCGGAGGAGACACGCTGTGGAATGAGGGTGCAGGGGGGAAGCTCTGAGGCCTGAGCCAGGCCAAGGATGGGGGGACACAACGGGAGTGTTGGACTAGATAGGTGTTTCAGTTAATTTTTATAAAACCAAATTTGTCTATGTTTTATTTTGTAAGCAAACTACCCATCCATTTCCTAGGGGGTTGTGGGACTTCTTTTACCAGATGCTAAGTTTCTATTTATTTACATGTCTGTCTCTGTCCTGTTCCATGGGTGTATTTTGCTGTTTTTCCAGCAGTGCCACTCTATTTTTATTACTGAGGCTTTGTAATAGGTCTTAGTATCTGATAGAACAACTTCTCCCTCTATAATATAATGTAATATAATATAATATAATATAATAATAGGTGTTTGGAGGTGGTGTCCTCCCGTCCAGGCTTCTGCTCAGCACAGCATTTTCTGCGAGGCAGAGAAACATTTTCAGTCATTTAAAACCAGGATTTCAGGAAGAATTATGCACTTGGTAAAAAAGAAAAGTGTCCAGAAGAGTTTATGACAAATGTAAGCTTACTTCTTAAGCTGCACCCTAGTAGCGACCCAGGTTTCCTGTGTGGTCTTCCAGAAAACGGCTAACCGGATGCCCACATTTATACGAGCACACACTCTCTTCTTCTGTACCAATGGCAGTATCTAAAGCCAACACGGGTCTGCAGGTTAACAATATGCCTTTGCGATTGTTTCTTTTTCTCAAAATATGAGCTTTTGAAAAAAAAAATGGGTTGAATTTTAAACCTGTTTTTCGATTTTACTTGACACACTTCAATTTTACAAGTTTTTGTACTGTGGTGTGATATTATGATAGATGTGTACAATGTGGAACAATAGAATTCAGCTAATGAACACCCCTGTCCACTCATATACTTTTCATTCTTGTGGTGGGAACGTTTGAAATGTACTCTCTCAGCAATTTTGCGAAGCACAATACGTATTGTTAACTGTTGTAACCATGCTATGCAGTAGATGGGCATGTGTATCAACATTAATCTTCTTTCTGTCTTTTGTTGAAAAGATTGCCTTTTGATTTGGGGTAGGGGAGGATATTTCAGTTAATTTTTATAAAACCAAATTTGTCTACGTTTTATTTTGTAAGCAAACTACCCGTCCATTCCCTGGGGGGTTGTGGGACTTCTTTTACCAGATGCTAAGTTTCTACTTATTTACACGTCTGTCTCTGTCCTGCTCCATGGGTCTATTTTGCTGTTTTTCCAGCAGTGCCACTCTATTTTTATTACTGAGGCTTTGTAATAGGTCTTAGTATCTGATAGAACAACTTCCCCCTCTTTAATATCTTATTTTCAAATTGACCTACCTCTTCATGGTCCTTTATTCTTCCAGAAAAGTTTTAGAGTAAATTTATCAACTTCCTAAAATGTCAGATAGATTTTAAGTTGACTTGAATATATTTCATTGGTTGATTTCAATATATGATTGATTTGTGGGAAACATAACTTCATAATATTGACACATCCTCTCTCATAGTATGAAATGGATACTCAACTATTCAAATAATCTTTAGCCTTTTGGCAGGATCTAAAACATTTCCTTAGAGATCTTATGCATGTTTGTTAAACCAACGCTTAGACACTTTTGTTGCTATAGTGAATTGTATCTTTTCATTAGGTTGAAGGAAAGTTATCAGTTTATCTGGAATATAGAGATTTCATGTTTCTTAAGCTCAATCCAGGTATTTTTATATTAATATTATTAGCACCTTTTCTTGTGTTATCTTTTCCAACTGGTTGTTATGTCTACATAGAGAAACTCATGATTTAGGCATATAAATTTTGCACCCACTAAGCATAGTTAATGCTGATATCGAAAGGAAATATATGGGTCATTTAGTAAAAGCACCTGGAATAACTGGGAAGCCGTCTGGAAATGTCCACATAAGTCACATATTTAATATATTTTTTAAAAAAGCAGGGTCTTAAAAGCTCTATTTGAAACCATGGGGAATTTATTTTATAGCTACTGAGTAGAGATAACCCTATTTTGACACAAGTCTCAGGATATAGACAAGAAGAGAATGATATAATGTTAAATGAGAAAAGATAAACAGTAGTGTGTGTAGTATGGCAGTATGATCACCACACTATAGTTATATATCATCCTACTGTATAATTTCCTAAAGATGCTTAAAAAGTAGCCTTGGATGGACACATTAAAAATTAATAACCCTGGCAACCTGTGGGGTGGCATTGGGCCATAGGGGTGGGTGACATTGTAGAGTTTTCAAATTTTGAGCCACTTAAATGTATCGGGTCCCAGCATTTGAAACGACCACTGGAAAACAAGTGGGCAAAGAATTCAGCCCACTTACTGGATCTTCAAAGTTTATAAAAGTTATCCAGTGGAATCTCTTGTGTTTTCTAGTTATAAAATCACTACCTGCCAAAATGATACATTTACCCCAACATTTCAAATTGCGTTACCCTCCTTTTTTTCTTGCGTAATTGCATTTGCTAGTATCTCTAGGATACTGATAAATAAAAGTAAAACGTTGGATCTGTGTATTTTGTTCCTTATTCATTTGTGTTAGGATTTTTGCTTTCTTGCCACAAAAAAAAATATTTTTCTGCACATTTGCTAACTTTTTTACAGTTGGCTTTTGGATGCTGTGTTTTCCTCTGAACAATCTTTTTAAAAATACCTGTCGAAATTTCCTATGGTACTTTTCTAATTCTCTGCTCTTGTGATTTTTTTTTTTCTGCTTTTCTAATTCTCACATATTTGATTCCTGTGGAGCTTACTTTCTTGTAAGCTTACTTTCTTGTCTTATTGGGAAACACAGCACCTGGAGGATTCTGTTTCTCTCTTTGCTCCCTGGATAATTGTTCGGGGTGGGGTTTGTAATTCCACAGGGACGACCTGGCCCAGCTGCCCTTCCTGACCATGTGCATTAAGGAGAGCCTGCGGCTGCACCCTCCAGCACCAATGATCTCCCGACGCTGCACCCAGGACATTGTGCTCCCGGATGGCCGGGTCATCCCCAAAGGTGCCCACAGGGGAGGGGGAGGAGGAACCTGGGCAGGGAGAAGGGCCCGTCAGGCAGTGAGGCCCTGTCCTGACTGCTCCCTCCTCTCGCCCAGGTGTCATCTGCCTCATCAGTATATTAGGAACCCATCACAACCCAGCTGTGTGGCCGGACCCCGAGGTGCTCACTGACCCCCTCCCACCACCATGTTTGCCCATTCTGGGGGTCCTAGAGGAGGGGGCGGGGCTTCCACAGGGAAATTCGTGTCTCCTCTCACCCCGATTTCCAGACACTCTCGTCTGTCTCTCTGAGGCTGGCGGTGCTGGGAGACCCCCCACCCCCAGCGAGCCTGTGTCCCTCTCACCCCAGGTGTATGACCCCTCCCGCTTCGACCCAGAAAACGCCAAGGAGCGGTCGCCTCTGGCTTTCGTTCCCTTCTCGGCAGGGCCCAGGTGAGGGTGGTGCGTGTCCCAGGCAGGGGTGGAGGGGTGGGGGTGGGGGTCTGGGCCTGACGGTGGGAAAAGGTGGAGGAAGGGGAGCTACAGAGGGTCACAGTTTCAGCTCTCCTTCCCTCCCCCATTCCCCCTTTGGTTAAGGCCAAAAGTCCACAGAATGGGGTCCCTGTTGGGGTACCGCGCTGTGCTCAGCGCCCCCCTCCCCTTTTCTGCTGTTGTCAGTCGGGGGCTGCAGTCCGGGCCAGCTCGGGGTTACGCAAGCCACGCCCACACTACTGTTTGTGTGTGGTGGGCAGGTGGGGTGTCCCGGGTATATTTAGCTCCTGTCTCTTGCCCCTCAAGCTGATCTGGGGGGTGGGGGGCAGGGGCCTCTGGGGCCAGGTTCCAGGTGCGATGGGGCCAGGGTGCTTGTCCCGGGAGAACTCAGAGTCCCCACCTCCGTCCGCCCCCAGGAACTGCATCGGGCAGACCTTCGCCATGACCGAGATGAAGGTGGTCCTGGCGCTCACCCTGCTGCGCTTCCGCCTCCTGCCCGACCACACGGAGCCGCGCAGGAAGCCGGAAATTATCCTGCGCGCCGAGGGCGGCCTCTGGCTGCACGTGGAGCCGCTGGAGCCGGGCACGCAGTGACCCCTCCACCCCGTCCACTCACCTTCGCAGATTTCTGGGAATAACACTGAGCTGTCACCTCTGTCTGAGCCTGGTAGACAGACGGCAGGGAGCCCCCGTGGGGACTGCGGGATCCAGGGCGTGGGCCTGGGAGGGTTGAGGTGGAGCTGGTGCTGCGGAGCCCACAAACGTCACTGCCTCCTCTCTGGCTGACCACAGTGTCCTCAGGCGGATCCCAGGTTGTCTCGGAGCCCGAGTATGGGCTTTCTCCTGTGGGCCGCAGGGAGCCATGGGGGGTGTGTGAGCAGGAGAGGGACCAAGGGTTGAGGACAGATTTAACAGGCAATACTGAGGCTCTGAGTCAGCAAGAAAAACAACAGGGGCAGATCCCTCAGTCTGGGCTGCAGGTGTCTCCCCCCCAGACAGACCCCTCCTGCCCAGCCCAGAACACGGGGGGCAAGGGCTGGCACCTTCCACCTGGCAACCTCTCTGAGATTGTTGGTCCCTTCCTGTTCTGGCCAACGTCCCACCCCTGTGCCTGCCCCTGCCCCGTGGTCCCACCCGTGGCCCCTTCCCCCACCGCCAGGGAGCCCCTCCCTTCCCTCTTCTGGCCCCGGTGCTGCCCGGGCGGCCTGGACGGCACATACGGACCGAGCCCCTCAGCAGCTGCCACGGCAGAGTCAGGCGCGGCCCCTCCCCACCCTGTCACCTCCTGTCCCTCCTTCGTTCCCACCACAGGCCCCCCGGGGGCCCATCTCGGGGCGGGGCGGGGCAGCGCCATCCCATTCGACCCCGGAGATTCAAAGCCAGACCTCTGGGCACAAACACCCACCCCACAAGCACGGGATCCGGAGCCTGGCTGCTTGGGCTCAACTCTCAGCTCTGCTGTGTGACCGGGGCAAGTTAATGTCCCTCTCTGTGCCTCCCTGCCCTCAACCCTATAATGGGGACAGCAACACTACCGACCTCGGGAGTGTGCTCAGGGCCAAAACACAAAGGACTCAGAGCCGTGACTGCTGCACAGAGAATGCTCGGTCAGTGTGGCCACGCCACCGCCCCTCTCCGAAAGTCTGTCGAAGCACGCTGCCTTTCAAGGTCATTGTTCCTGCCACGACTTTTAGGAGTGTGCCTTGGCACTCGGGCAGGGGAGCTGTAAGGTTTGTGCTCGCCGAATCGGGGCTTTCCCCGCCAGGGCTGCGTGCACAGAAAGGGATGGTTTCTGAGGGTGATGGGCCGCCCGAGGGTGCCAGGAGGTGGAGACCGAGAGTAACCTTAGTGAACGTCTCAAAATAGCCCCCTGCCCCAAACGTCGGTCTCTTCATAGCCTGAGGGACTCTGCACCACGGAGCCCTGCTGAGTCCAAGGCCAAACCTGGAGGCTCAGCGTCCGAGGACAGAGGGGAGGCACTGGGGTGGGACTGAGGGGGGCCGTGGGCACACGAGGTCCAGGCAGGGAAGGCAGAGCCAGGGGACCCTGAGCGGAGTCCCCGTGCTGCCCTGTCCTTGCTCTGAATGTGGGCGGGGCCGGCCAGCTGGGCTCGGTCTCCCCATCTGGGAAATGGGGTGTCAGAGGAGGTCCTCAGTGGGGGACAGAAGATGGGTCTACACAGTTGGGAGCCCCAAGAAAGAAAGTAAAGGGAAGGGGCTGGCAACTAGCCCTTGAGCTGCTGTGGGCCAGGGCTCTGCTCTGTGCAAGAGACTGTGAAGTCCTTCTACTGTAAGTGCACCCACTGTGTGCTGTACGTAAAGTGCACCCACCGTGTGCTGTACGTAAAGTGCACCCACCGTGTGCTGTATGTAAAGTGCACCCACTGTGCTCTACGTAAAGTGCACCCACTGTGTGCTGTACGTAAAGTGCACCCACTGTGCTCTATGTAAAGTGCACCCACTGTGTGCTGTACGTAAAGTGCACCCGCCATGTGCTGTATGTTAAGTGTACCCACTCTGTGCTGTATGTAAAGTGCACCCACTGTGTGCTCTACATAAAGTGCACCCGCCATGTGCTGTATGAAAAGTGCACCCACTGTGTGCTGTACGTAAAGTGCACCCACTGTGTGCTGTAGGTAAAGTGCACCCACTGTGTGCTCTATGTAAAGTGCACCCACCATGTGCTGTATGTAAAGTGCACCCACTGTGTGCTGTACGTAAAGTGCACCCACTGTGTGCTCTACGTCAAGTGCACCCACTGTGTGCTGTACGTAAAGTGCACCCACTGTGTGCTCTACGTCAAGTGCACCCACTGTGTGCTCTACGTCAAGTGCACCCGCCGTGTGCTGTATGTAAAGTGCACCCACTGTGTGCTGTACGTAAAGTGCACCCACTGTGTGCTCTACATAAAGTGCACCTACTATGTGCTGTACGTCAAGTGCACCCACCGTGTGCTGTATGTTAAGTGCACCCACTGTGTGCTGTACGTAAAGTGCACCCACTGTGTGCTGTACGTAAAGTGTACCCAGAGTGTGCTGTACGTAAAGTGCACCCACTGTGTGCACTATGTAAAGTGCACCCGCTGTGTGCTGTAGGTAAAGTGCACCCACTGTGTGCTGTAGGTAAAGTGCACCCACAGTGTGCTCTATGTAAAGTGCACCCACTGTGTGCTGTAGGTAAAGTGCACCCACTGTGTGCTGTAGGTAAAGTGCACCCACAGTGTGCTCTATGTAAAGTGCACCCACTGTGTGCTGTAGGTAAAGTGCACCCACTGTGTGCTGTAGGTAAAGTGCACCCACTGTGTGCTGTACGTAAAGTGCACCCGCTGTGTGCTGTACGTAAAGTGCACCCGCTGTGTGCTCTATGTAAAGTGCACCCGCTGTGTGCACTACGTAAAGTGCACCCACTGTGTGCTGTAGGTAAAGTGCACCCACTGTGTGCACTACGTAAAGTGCACCCGCCGTGTGCTGGGCACTCTACATACATCCTGCCTACTGTGTGCCAGGTGCTCTGCAGAAAGTGTGCCTTCTTCGTGTAGATGCTCAGCTGCATCCCAGTGCTCAATGCCTTTCCACCCCGCTCCCCTCGGCTCTCGGGCAGAGCTTGGAGATTGATGGAGAGACCCAAGCAATGGCTTCTAGAAGAGGGAAGATGCCCATTTAACAGGAGAGCAAACTGAGGCTCAGAGAGGGCGAGTGTCCAGCCCAAGTGGCAGAGCTCGTAGCAACCCAGGTCCTTCAGACCAAGCCAACACCCTTCCCTCTGCCATGCTACTCTGTCCCATTCACTGGGTGCAATGCCATATGAATCCAGGGACATCTATAGTAGTGGAACATCAGTCCATGTGGTGGCCCCAGAGGGGAAATATCCTGAGGCCCTTGTGTCACCACCTGCCTCCTCCTCCCACACCCTGGACGCACCACCCGACAGACCTAGGGCAACCCCCGCCCTTGGCTCCCCCTGACTTCTGATCCATGGGGTGGTCTCAGGTGAGGGAGGGCGTGAAGGGTGGGGCTCCCGGCAGAGCTGCGGAGCGGGAAGACGGGAAAAGACAGTCCTGACACTGGCAGGATGTCAGGGAGGCTCCAAACCTCCCTCCGCCCCCGCCCGGCTCTATCAGCCAGCGGATTTGGGCAGCGGGGCCGGGACCCCTGCTCGGCGGTGGGCGTGCCCCTCCTGAGTCTCCTCCTCTCCCGCAGAGAAGGCCTCACCTGCTGGCAGGTTGGTCCCCTTCAGGGTCTGCGGGCAAACCCGGGGTATGACAAACCAGGCGGGGTCCTGGAGACGCAGAAGAAAGAGCCCCGAGTGGCCAGAGGGGCTCAGCAAACTGCAGACCTACTATGTGCCCGGGGTGGGCAGAATCCTAGAGCAGGGATGGCGGCCACCGTCCTGCAGCAACACAATTCACCGTTGTTGTTTCCGCTTCACAAACGAGGAACCGAGTCTGGGAGGTATGTAGGTGACTGCCGCAGTGGCAGGGCTGGCGGGGCCGGGTGGGGCCCCCTGCCAACCCAGCCTCAGCTCCGCGCCTGGGCTGCGCGCGTCTGCGTCCGGGAGCGCCCGTCTCAGCAGAACTCGCCTCTCGGGACTGTGGCGACACCCGAGAGAGACACGGTCCGTAAACTGCGTGAGCCGAGTGAGGGCTTCGTGACGCTGCTCCCCGACGCCGAGGTCGCTGCCGTGGCCGAGTGAGCCGCACCGGGGCTCGGACTGGCCCCGCCGGGGCCGGAGATGCGGACCTAGCGCCGTCTGGAAGAAGGGCCCTGCGGGTCCGCCGTCCTCACCGCCTGGCTCTGCGGCTGTCGGCCATGACTCGGGGAGCGCCTGCTGGGCTCGGGGAGCCGGGCCTGAATCCAGAAGAGGTTTGCACAGGGAAGTGGCAACGGGGACCCGTGAACGCCGCCAGGCGTCGGGCTCTGCTCACAGCTGGATTCCTGGGGAGACTCCAGCCGTGTGGGCAGCCGGTGGCTGGTCAGTGCGTGGGTGCCACCGCCTGCCCAGTGAAGACATGGGCGACACCGAGCTCCTGCACCCCTGGCAGTCTCTGCTTGTATGCCCCCCAGGATGGAGAGCTCACCACACACACACACACACACACACGCACACACACACGCACACACATGCAGGCACACACTCATGGTCTGTTCCTTTAAAGAACATTAGAAGGTAGATCCTCTATGGCAGTGGACTCAAATATAACCAGTGGTAACATTGATATAGATGAGGTTTGTTTAAAATGCACCTTCCTTGCTGTGTGTTCGCATGTCAAGAGAGGCGAGATATGATACCAGGTAAGACCGTGAGGAGCAGAACCTCGTGTAGAGTCTGTGATATTTTCTCAAAAGTGGGGTGGAGAGTGAATGAATGGATAAGCTCCTAGTCACCATATTTGCGTCAATATATCCTAGCATGAATAATATTTCCGCTTAGACCAACGCTGTTTATGTACAAGGAGCTGTTTGCATGTTTATATTTCACTTGTGTGATATTTCCCCGCCGTTTTTACAAGTCATCCCCCCAGGTCTTCTGGTTTCATTGCACAGTTGTGTAGGCTCCATAGCACGTTTCTTATCTAGAATAGAAGGTTCTTCACATTTCACTGCCAAGCGCTATATTTATGGAAGGTTCATAAGGAGCTGTCTTTTGCAGGCTAAGACATTTCCTTGGAATGTCCTTGGAGTTCCTCCTCCAACTTCACTGATTTTCTTCTTAAGCGATGTTTTCCTTTTTAAGCAGTTAATAATAGATAAATTGCATTGATTGCATTTTATGTGGAAATTTCCAGTAGACGCAGAAGTAGAAGAAAAGCACAATGATTGTCGATGTCTCGGCTTCGATAGTTGTAAACGCTGGACCAATTCTGCCTCATCTACAAGCCTGCCGTGAATCGGCTACGGTATTGCTAAGAAAATGCCAAGCGCCGTGTCACTCAGCCCACGATGGCGCCCGCGTGGACCTCGGGCACCCAGCCCTTTCCGTGAAAGACACACCCACCATGCCAACATCGCATGTACCAACAGCCCATATTAAGACAGTCCATAATAAGAGACAGCCCATAATAAGACAGGTGAGGGAAGGGGTCACAGGTGGGACCACAGGGGAGGGGCAGGCACAGGGGTGGGACGTTGGCCAGAGCAGGAAGGGACCAACAATCTCAGAGAGGCTGCCAGGTGGAAGGTGCCGGCCCCTCTCCCCTGTGTTCTGTGCTGGGCAGGGGGCTCTGTCTCGGGGGGGCCGGGGTCACCCCCAGCCGAGATGAAGGGATCTATCTCTAGGAGTTCTTCTCCTTACCTCAGAGCCTCAATCTTGCCCCTTCAATTTGTCCTTAACCCTGGTCCCTCTCTTGCTCAAACACCTCCCATGGCTCCCTATCACCTGAAGAGTAGAGTCCATACTTGGGGTCTGAGAGAGGCAGCGACTGGCACAGGAGCGCAGTGCTCAGCCAGAGAGGCGGTCAGGGTGTCCAGCTCGGAGCCCCCAGCCCCTGGGTCCCGCAGTCCCCAAGCGTCCCCTGCCAGCTGTTGGCCAGGCCTGGGCAGAGGTGACAGCACGGTTTTATTCCCCGGGAATCTGCGAAGGCAGGAGGACGGAGTGGAGGGGTCAGGGCTGGCCCGCCTCCAGCGGCTCCACCCCCAGCCAGAGGCCGCCCTCCGCTCGCAGGATCATCTCCATCCTCCTGCGCGGCTCCGTGTGGTCGGGCAGGACTCGGAAGCGCAACAGCGTGAGTGCCAGGACCACCTTCATCTCGGTCATGGCGAAGGTCTGCCCGATGCAGTTCCTGGGGGCGGGGGTGGGGCTCTGAGCTTCCCTCCCCCATCGCGCCTGAAACCTGGCCCAGAGCAGCTTGAGGGGCAGAGAGAGGAGCTAAGTATGCCCGGGACGCCCCCACCCCCGCCCCTCGTCTCTAACACGCACACGCACACATGTGCACACGCAGACATGCACACATGTGCACACGCACACATGTGCACACGCACACATGTGCACACCCACACATGTGCACACGCACACGCACAGCGTGGGCTTGTGTAACCCCTGAGCCTGGCACAGACTGCAACCCCCAACTCACAACAGCACCCAGGGTAAGCGTCTGCTCTCAGGGACCCCATTCTGTGGACCTTAGCCCTTAACCTCAGGAGGGGGGAGGGAAGAAGAGCTGAAACCGTGACCCTCTGCAGCACCCCTTCCCCCAGCTTTTCCCACCGTCAGGCCCAGACCCTGCACCCATCCCCACCCCACCCCTGCCTGGGGCACACCCCACACTCACCTGGGCCCTGCCGAGAAGGGAACGAAAGCCAGAGGCGACCGCTCCTTGGCGTTTTCTGGGTCAAAGCGGGAGGGGTCATACACCTGGGGTGAGAGGGACACAGGCTCGCTGGTGGGGGGGGTCTCCCAGCACCGCCAGCCTCGGAGAGACAGATTAGAGTGAGTGGGGGGGGGAGAGGAGATCTCGAGTTTCCCTGTGGAAGTCCCGCCCCCTCCTCTAGGACCCCCCAGAATGGGCAAACATGGTGGTGGGAGGGGGTCAGTGAGCACCTCGGGGTCCGGCCACACAGCTGGGTTGTGATGGGTCCCTAATATATTGATGAGGCAGATGACACCTGGGCGAGAGGAGGGAGCAGTCAGGACAGGGCCCCACTGCCTGATGGGCCCCTCTCCCTGCCCAGGTTCCTCCTCCCCCTGCCCTGTGGGCACCTTTGGGGATGACCCGGCCATCCGGGAGCACAATGTCCTGGGTGCAGCGTCGGGAGATCATTGGTGCTGGAGGGTGCAGCCGCAGGCTCTCCTTAATGCACATGGTCAGGAAGGGCAGTTGGGCCAGGTCGTCCCTGTGGAATCACCCATCCCCAATAATCATTAATGTCTAGGGAGCAAAGACAGAAATAGAATTTTCCAGCCAGTGTGTTTCCCAATGAGCTCTTTTCTCCCTATAACAAAGTAAGCTCCACAGGAATCAAATATGTGAGAATTAGAAAAGCAGAAAAAATCAGAAGAGCAGAGAATGAGAAAAGTATCATAGGAAATTTAGCCAGGTATTTTTGAAAGATTGTTCTGAGGAGAACACAGCATCCAAAAGCCAACTATGAAAAGTTAACAAATGTGCAGAAAAAATATTTTTATGGCAAGAAAGCAAAATCAAAATACAAATGAATAAGAAACAAAATACACAGAATCAATGTTTTACTCTTATTTCTTATTTACTAGAGATACTAGCAGATGCAATTACACAAGAAAAAAGGAGGGTAACACAATTTGAAATGTTGAGGTAAATGTATCATTTTGGCAGGTAGTGATTTTATAACTAGAAAACATAAGAGATTCCACTGGATAACTTTTATAAACTTTGATGATCCAGTAAGTGAGCTGAATTCTTTGCCCACTTGTTTTCCAGTGCATATTTAAAATACCAGGACCTGATACACTTAACTAGTTGAAAATTTGAAAAGTCTACAACGTCACCAAGCCCCCAACACCACCCCACAGGTTGCCTACATTACTATTTTTAATGTATCTTTCTAAAGGTAACTCTTAAGCATCTTTAAGATTTTACACAGTAGCATGATATATAACTACACTGTAGTTACACTATTGTACTATACACACTACTGTGTATTTTTTCTCATTGAACATTATCTCATTCTCTTCTTGTCTCTCTCCTGGGATTTATATCAAAATAGGTTATTCCTACGCTGGAGCTATAAAATAATTTCCCCATGGTTTCAACTAGAGCTTTTATGACTCTTCTTCTTTTAAAAATATTAAATACGTGACTCCTTTGGACATTTCCAGACGGCTTCCCGGTTGTTCCAGCTGCTTTTCCTAAATGATCCACATTTTTCCCTTTTGATATCAGCATTTACTATGCTTATTGGGTACAAAATTTATATGCCTAAATCATGAGTTTCTCTACGTAGAAATAACAACCAGTTGGAAAAGATAATACAAGAAAAGGTGCTAATAATATTAATGGAAAATACCCGAATTAAACTTAAGAAACATGAAATATCTATATTCCAGATAAACTGATAAATATCCTTCAATCCAGTTAAAAGGTACACTTCACTATAGCAACAAAGGTGTCTAAGGATTAGTTTAGCAAACATGCATAAGATCTCTAAGCAAATATTTTAAACTCTGTTAACAGACTAAAGATTATTTGAATAGGTGAATATCCATTTCATACTATCAGAGAGGATGTGTCAATATTATGAAGTTATGTTTCCCACAAATCAACTGTACATCGAAATCAACCAATGAGATATATTCAAGTCAAATTAGAATCTATCTGACTTTTTAGGAAGTTGATAAACTTACTCTAACATTTTTCTGGAAGAATAAAGGATCATGAAGAGGTAGATCAATTTGAAAATAAAATATTAAAGAGGGGGAAGTTCTTCCACCAGATACTAAGACCTATCACAAAGTCACAGTAATAAAAATAGCATGGCACTGCCGCAAAAACGTCGAAATAGACCGGTGGAACAGGAGAGAGACAGACGTGTCAATAAGTGAAAACTTCGCATCTGGTAAAAGAAGCCCCACAACCCCCCAGGAAATGGATATGTAGGCTGGCTATAAAATAACATGTACACGAATTTGGTTTCATAAAAATTAACCAAAATACTGCCTCCTCAAGTCAAAAGGCAATCTTTTGCAACCCAAGACAGAAAAAAAAAGATTAATTTTGATACACATGGCTCTAAAGAAATATGAAAAACAATGAACCCAAAGAAAAAGAGCAAAACATGTAAGACGACCGCTTCCATAAAGTGAAAATGAACGGTTTATCAACACGTGCAAGTGATGTTCAGTCTCACTGTTATTTAAAGAAATGTCCATTCGAACAAGAAATACAAAGATTGACAAAGATTTAAAATTCAACAGCAGTATTGTTGAAGTTATGGCAAAGCTGGTGTCATCAAACTCAGGTAACAGGAATGGCTTTGCCATCACTAAAACTGTGCAGTGCAAATGGTCTTTGATTCACCAACTGCACGCCTTGGAATCTGTTCCTCAGTAATGCTCCCTCTTGAAGCAGCGGGGAGTGTACACACATGCTGACTGCACCGTGCTTGATTTAGCAAAAGGCTGGAAACAATTTACAAATATACATCCATGGGAAGATGTTTAGATAAATCATGTTTAGATAAATCATGTTTAGATAATCCACATAATTGACTACTATACAAGCTACACCAAAGGAAGAGATGAGGACCACTACTAGCCCTCTCACACTGCAGGATTGGGGGGAGGGGGTACATCAGTACAGAGACTGGGAAGAAAATTGGCAATGTCTATTATAACTGCAAATGTTTACTTAAGTGCAATCCTAGCACTCTGGGGGGCCCAGGAGGGCGGATTGCTCGAGGTCAGGAGTTCAAAACCAGCCTGAGCAAGAGTGAGACCCCGTCACTACTATAAATAGAAAGAAATTAATTGACCAACTAGAAATATATATACAAAAAATTAGCCGGGCATGGTGGCACGTGCCTGTAGTCCCAGCTACTCGGGAGGAGGCTGAGGCAGGAGGATCGCTTGAGCCCAGGAGTTTGAGGTTGCTGTGAGCTAGGCTGATGCCACAGCACTCATTCTAGCCTGGGCAACGAAGTGAGACTCTGTCTCAAAAAAAAAAAATTAAAAAATTAAAAATACACTAATTTCCAAAGCTCATATTTTGAGACAAAGAAACAATCGCAAAGGCATATTGTTAACGTGCAGACCCGTGTTGGCTTTAGATACTGCCATTTGTAGGGAAGAAGAGAGCGTGTGCTCATATAAATGTGGGCATCCGGTTAGCCGTTTTCTGGAAGGCCATACAGGAAACCCGGGTCGCTACTAGGGTGCAGCTTAAGAAGTAAGCTTACATTTGTCATAAACTCTTCTGGACACTTTTTTTTTTTTTTACCAAGTGCATAATTCTTCCTGACATCCTGGTTTTAAATGACTGAAAATGTTTCTCTGCCTCGCAGAAAATGCTGTGCTGAGCAGAAGCTTGGCCGGGAGGACACCACCTCCAAACACCTGTCTAGTCCCCTGCTCCCGTTGTGTCCCCCCATCCTTGGCCTGGCTCAGGCCTCAGAGCTTCCCCCCTGTACCCTCATTCCACAGCGTGTCCCCTCCGATATCCTGCCCACACTAGCCCTAGAAAGATCTTTCTGGTACCCAAATCGGACCTCTCCCTCACCTGCTCAAACACCACCCCTGGCTCCCCATTGCCCTTGGGGTAAAGTTGACCCTTGAAACTTCTCTCTCCCTCTGTGTCTGTCGTCTCCCCCCACACCTCTGCCAGCCCATCCCCTTGACCCAGAGCACCGCTGCCCAGCTGTGCCCGAGTGTCTACTGACCCCACTCGGGGACTCAGCGGAGACACTTTCTAACCTCCAGTCCTGCTTCTCTCGCTCCCCACTCTATGCACGCTCCTGTGGGCTGGGAAAGTCCTCATGGGGGACTGTTCCCCCACCAGACCAGGAGCACCGGAAAGGGACGATCCTGGGCTGCGTCCCCCCCAGGTCTCCAGAGCACAGAGAGGTGCCGGGCACAGAACTGGGGGCGGGAGGCAGCGCGGGAGTGTTTGCTACGTGGAGGCTGGGTGGGTGGGGGGGCACAGGTGTTCTGGACGAGAGATGGAAACTTTTACCTCTGGGTCTGCTTTGCAAATCCCTGGACTACACAGCGGGGTAGGAATAGGGCACAGAGGAGCAGACACTCCGTGAGGGAAGCTGTTTAAAGCAATGGTATGGAGAAAAGAAAGGGAGTGTAGACAAACTTCATTAAAGAACATGTGCTAGCTGGCATCATTAGACCTCACACATCGTCAGTAATTCTCTCAAAAACCTCAGCCTTTCTGTGTCCAAACCCTGCAATCTTTCCCCTGACGGCCAACTGGGTCCCAATTCCTGTCTCTGGGCTCTGCTCTGATCACTACTGAGAAATATTGGTAGAATAAAAGAAAACAGCTTCTCTCCTCCCTGCCCGGCAGCAGAGAGAGCCAAGGAGAGGGGCTCGGGGACAGGCCGTGAGGACCCGCACTCACCACTCAATCTCTGCGGGATCACGGCCCCTCAGCAGCTCCCGCACCTCCTGCCGGCAGCGCTCCTGGTGCTCCGGGTGCCTCGCGAGGTTGTACAGGACCCAGGAGAGACCGCTGGCCGTGCTGTCGTGGCCTGAGGGGCGAGAAGGTGGACCTGGGTCTCTGAGCCACTTCAGCACCCGAGGGGTGGACAGCGCCCTTGCTTGTTGGCTCTCAGGGAGGGTGGGAGGATGGAGTGATCGGGGTCCACCCACCGCACCCCTGGCCTGGAGAGACCCCCGTCCCCACTCTGGGACCCTCACCTGCAAACATGAAGGTGTCAGCCTCTGCTCGTATGTCCTCATCTGACAGCTGCTTTCCATCTTCATCCTGCAGAGAAGGAAATCCCAACAAGTCTCACCGGCTCTGAGACTCCCGGGTCTCCCCTGGGCGGATCTCTGAAGACGCATCCCCCTTCCAGAGACCCAAACCCACCCTGCTCTCCTAGATCTCCCAGGACACCGTGGCCAGAGCCCTCGCCTGCTGGGCTTCCTGCCCGACTGTCTCGCCTCCTCCCTCATCCCTGGTGGGAGGAATCGGTGATCCATCAATAGTTTCATGTTTCTGCATAAGGAGGGCTTCTGGGGGAAAAGTTGCCAGCCACCTGGGTTTCAGGATGCTTAAATGGCAATTTTCCTTGGAGCGTAGAAATTAGGTGTTGTCCCAAAGAGATTTGCTCACCTTCTAGGATGATAAACACAGAGAATCTTATCTCCCCTGAAGGCATTTTTCTTATAAACCCACAGTCACGGCATCTCACTGGAGAGTAGATTATACTCCAGAAGAAAGCGCTCGCTCTTTCTCTCTCTCTTTCTCTCTCTGTCTCTCTATCTCTCTTTGTCTCTGTCTCTGTGTCTCTCTGTCTCTCTGTGTGTCTCTCTGTCTGTCTCTCCCTGTCTCTGCCTCTGGAAGGAGGCATGCACAGATGAGCCAGCTGTTCTCCATGAGCTCCAAGACCCATAGTGCGGCCTTCCGCTGTGGGGCCGATTCTGGTGCACAAAGAGAGGAGGGGAGCAGACTGGGCGTGGGAGCCGGCGCTGCGATCCAACACGCGGGCTGCCGCTACTGCCGTGAGTAACAAACAGGCTGCCACGATCCCGGGTCAGGTGCATGCGTCAGCCGAGACACAGACGGGACAGAGACACAGACCACGACACAGCACAGCAGACCAACGCGGCAGACCAGCACAATAGCTCGTGAATGGAGTCAAAGCTGAGGCTGCCGTAGCTCCAGACTCAGCAGTCCCCTGCCGGCTGCCCTGCGGAGACTCCGCTCCAGAACCCGTCTCTGACCGTCCCCTTCCCGACTCAGATGACTCCCGAGCCCCCCAGAGCCCGCAGGGTCAAGCCCAAGTTCTTCCATCGGACATCTGACGTGAAGCGCCCCGTCCTGTCTCTGGAGCTCGGGTCCCAGGCGGCCCACCTTGCTCAGCAGGAGCACGTCGATGAAGTCCAGAGTCTTGGCCTTGGCCTTGGCCTTGAGGGAGTCGTCGGCGCCCTGGCCGGGGAGGGCGCGGCGCCGCTCCTGGATGACGGCGTCCGTGAAGTCGTGCACCAGGCGGCAGGCCTGGCGGAAGCGCCGCCCGTCGCGGGTGAGAGAGTACGGGAAGTCCGAGTACAGCAGGATGTTCTGGCTTCTCTTCTCGATCAGGGCGCTGAGCTCCAGGATGGCGGCGATGTACTCACTGGGCTTCCTGCAGGACGGGGGAGTGGGGAGGAGGCGACTCAACTCACCTGAACCCCGGGAGCGTTTCCCGCCAGCAGCCAGGACCCCCCTCCCGGCGGGAAAGTGAGTCTCCAGGAGCAGACGGCCCCACAGGTACACAGCGGGCGTCAGCCGTGACACGTGACCCTCCAGACCCCCCTCTCTGCCTGCCTCCACCTCTGCGAGCTGCCACGGGCCACTAGGCACCCAGACCATCGCGTGGACATGTGCCTGCTCCCCTCTGTCCCCCGCCCAGTATCCAGTCCTGGCCCTCCTCCTTCCTGAACCCGAGCACACAGCCCACATGGTATCCCGTCCCGCCTGGTCCACGGCCCAGCCCCCACCCTAGCCTCCTGCATCCAACTCAACTCTGTCTAGTGTCTACACGACACTCAGCTCTCCACAGAGCTCAGCTCTGACCAAGCCCAGTGTAAGCCACAACGTCTCCCTAGAAGCCTCCTGATAGGGCTCATCCCACTCCGCCTGCCTGTTCCGGGTGCTTGAGATCCAGCCCCTGTCTCCCTCCTCAGCCCCGCTCCTCCCGTCTGCTGCACGTGCTCTGCTCGTCCCGCCTCCCTGCCTTCGCTCACACATTTCTCCCTCCCTGCCCTGCCCCTCACAGCCCAGCTACCACGCACCCGCTCCAGAACACTCCTGTGCTTGTTGTCCTCAGTCCCCTCCCCCACCTACACCCTAGGGTCCACGGCTCAAGGTCCCACGCCCCGGGCAAGGACTCACTCCTGGCAATGGCTGTCGAAGCTGAAGATGCATTTCTGCAGACTGTCCAAGGTCATGAGGCTGATGTGCTCGAACATGTCCAGACGGGCGATGCCCTCCGAGGCCAGGCGCTGCCACTTGGCCTGGACAGAGAAGGGCACGGAGCTGGGGTTTGGCCTTGGCTCTCTGGAGCCCGTCCCCAACCCCAGCCATCTGGATGGACGCATTCAGAACCAGCCTCTTGGTCCTCTGCCCGGGTACCCATCTCCAGGAGGACCGGCTTGGGTGAAAGCAGAACTTTTACTATTAGCGGATGAAGACACCATGGCTGGGAGAGCGAGACCTGAGTTCACGTGTCAGCTCTGGGCCCTGTGCTACGAGTGCCCTTGGCCAACTCAGTGCCGTCTCTAAGGTCCCACCTGTCAAATCTTCAGGGAAATTTTAGTTGACCTGCTTTGGTGCCAGATAAACCAGGTTAGAATCCCTGCTCCGAACCCCCAGGGACTTACTACCCGGGGAGACTTGAGCAACCCCTCTAATCTTTCTGGCCATCAAGTTTCCTCTCTGTAATGGGGTAAAAAGAAACTCTAACTCACAGGAGCACTAGAATTAAATCGGACAATGTATATAACAGAATTGGTGCAAGGGATCATTTCTGTCCTAGAGTGAGTGCTCAGAAATGTTGGCTTTCCTCATATTTGTTGTTATAAATTGGCGGCGGAAGTATCCCTGTGTTGGTAGCAGCAGTCTTCCATGGGCCCTGAGCGTCCTTGCTGGGCATGCCAAGGATGCAAAGCTCTGACGTTTTCAACCGGGCTGATTTCCCATCCTTGTGCTTGCAGAGAACACCCTGGAGGGATCAGGTCATGATCTCCCTGTCCAGGCTCGTGTCTGTTGGCTATACAATCAGATTCCGTGAGCCTGGTGCTCCTCCTCTGTAACTCAAAGATTCCAGGGCCAGCCATCGATAGAATCCCATCTGTGTCACCCACATGGGATTTGGGCAGCTTGCAAAAAGGCGGCAAACCGAGAAGAAGTGCATGCTCTTGTGCGGTGAGTAGTCAACTGCCCTTTGCCTCTGACCCTGGAGTCTCACGTCTTGTGGCAGAATCCAGGAGACAGTAACACGCTAAGGCATAACCTTGCAAGTGAGGAAAATATGCTAGGCAGTTCCAAAAATCCACATCCCACCCGGAAACCATTCTTCTAAGCGAATTATCAGAAGACTAGAAAAGCAAACACCACATGTACTCGCCACTAAATTGGACCTAATGGATCAACACTCATGTGCAGGTGTGGAAATAATATTGGTTAGAAATCCAGCAGGTGGAAGGGGGCAGGAGGGGATTTGAAACTCACACCTAACGGGTACAATGCACAGTATCTCAGTGATGAACACGCTTACAACTTTGACTCAAAGGGTACTAAAGCGATTTTTGTAACCAAAATGTTTGTACCTCCATAATAATCTTAAATAAAAATACAAAACATCTACAAATATCTGTAACCCCAATTCTGTACGTCTCCCAGTGCCCAAATCTATGCCGTGTGATTTTTAGGCAACTTCCATTCAGAGACGGAGCCTATTTTAACCACCGTGCTTTTAGTCTCTGCTGGACTTTTGGCTGTGTTTTTTGGCCCATATGATGTGGGGGAAATGATGACATAGCAACTCGGATAATCACGAACCCCAGCAGGCATTGCAGCCTTGTCTCAGTGTGTTGGAGCCCTGTCCCTGCCATGGGGACAGCCAGGGACCCCTGCAGGAGGCAGAGAGTCGCGTGGGGGAGAGTCCAGTGTCCCCGCTGAGGCTACCCTAGATCAGCCGGATGCCGGCCGAGCCCACACAGGGGAGAGACTGAGCCAGGATCACAAAGCTGCCACCTGACCCGCAGCTGGTCACACAGCCCGAGTGACCCTCCCACACCCACACGAACCAGCCCTCTGTCCCGTGGACTTATCAGCAGTCATGAGCACACTGATTAAACCAACGAGTGTGGAGGTGGTTTGTGAGCAGCAGCAGCTGCTATGTGATCTTCATCATTGCCCTCCTGAGCTCACTGCACTTCCCTGAGAGAAACACAGAAACTGACGCTGTCTGAGCACCTACTATGTGCCAGGGACAGCACGCCATGACCTCACCTTGGCCTCCTTTTCAGTAGGGATTATTATACCCATTTTACAGATGAGGAAACCAAGGCTCAGAGAGGAAGAGCAAAGACCCTAAGCCACCCGCAGAGCCAAGTCCCCACATGAGACCTGTCTGTGGTCCCTCTGCCCCAAGGCTCCAGCTGGGACCCCAGTGTCCGGGGACTCACGAGCATGATGTTCACGCTCCCGTTGAAAATCTTCACGTAGGGCTTCAGGATGTTGAAGTGGAAGGCGGGCGTCAGCATGCGGCGGTGGCGGCTCCACTTGTCACCGGCGCTCAGCAGGAGCCCCTCCCCTAGAAGGGCAGCCAAGGGCCGTGGTCAAAGGCAGCACCTTCTCCTGCCCACCAGGCTGTCCCCACCCCTCCCCTGCAGCTACTCACCCAGCCAGGGCTTTATGAAGCTGAAGAAGATATCGTCCTTCCGTACGATGGCGGCTGACATGAATGAGGACAATCAGGGGACATGCAGGGTGGAGGGAAGGGGGTTGGGGTGGGGGTTGGGCTCCCACCCAGGGGTTTGCACCTCCCACTCCAAGCCCAGCATGGCAGGATGGGGCCAAGTGCAGACGGAGATGGGGGTGGGGGAGCGGAGGGACCCCCAGCCCAGGCTGCAGCAGACACTAGAGCAGCACACACGCCAACACGGCACAGCACGCGCCGTCATGCCTTGACACAGCTCCTCTGTGATTCACCATGTCTGCAACACCCAAACGTAGCTCAACGCCTTGCAAAACGCCTTCATAAGAACTCAGGGTGCCCTGCCCGCCCCAGAACTCTCTACCGTCCCCTGACTGGGATCTCACACATGTGACCTGACCCCGAGGGGTTAGCAGGTCCCGACACAGCCACGGCACACATGACGACCCCTCAATGACACGGCGTGGGCTGAATTTGACCTGAGAGTGTCTGGCACGAGCCCAGCAGGCCCCTCGGCCGGACCCCAGATAGGATTTAAATATGAAAGAATCTCTTTGTGCCCCGGATGTGGACCAGGTGGGCCCCAGACTGTGGGCAGGTATGATCCGAGCACACCTGAAGGCGGCCTCTGGCGAGGTCATGCCTCAGACGGTCCCAAAGGGGCCCTGGGTGCCAGACCTCAGACCGGCCCCAAATACGGCCCCGGCGTGAGAAGCAGGGGCAAAAGGAGATCCCCAGCGACATTGCAGACAAGGACCAGAGAGGCCTGACATGCTCCCAGTGCCCTCGGCCGCAGCTGAGCCCCAGACACGGCGACCTCCATGATTCCAGGTGTAACAGGTGTAACCAGGTGTGACACGTACCAGGTGCCACCTGGATCCAGGTGTAAAAGCACATGTGGCAAGAAGTGACCATGCAGCAGTGGTCACACAGACATGCCCAGACAGGAGCAATCAGGACCAGAGGTCAGACAGGGGTTAGGGTTAGGGAGCAGAAGGAGGGAGGCACCCAGGTCCTGCAGGGGCCACAGAGGAACTTGGGGGAGGAGGGTTCTGGAAGCCCCTGGAGGTGCATGGCGCCCAGCACCATGAGCCCCGCAGGGTACCTGAGGCATTCAGGACAGGCCGGAGGATGTCGGGGTGGCAAACGTTGATGACAGGGATGACGGGGCCCAGCCAGAACTTAAAGCCCTGGGGGTAGGTGGCCACCAGCTCAGTCACATTCCTCAAGCTCTCCTCCGTGGGGGTGACCTGCAAGCAAGGCAGGGCCGTCACCTCCTGCAATGGCTAATTTCAGGTGCCAACGTGACTGGGCTAAAGGTTGCCCAGATAGCCGGCGAGCTTTATTTCTGGGTGTGTCTGCGAGAGTTTCCAGAAGAGATCAGCGCTTGGGTTGGTAAACCGAGGAAGGAAGATCCGCCCTCCCCGGCGCGGGCAGGCGCCCTCCAGGCCACTGGGGGCCCAGAAAGGCGGAGGAGGGGGCTCGGCTCTGTCTTTGGGAGCTGGGACATCCATCCGCCTTCTCCACCCCTGGACGTGGGAACTCCAGCTGCTCGGGGCCCTGGACGGGACCGAGTGGCAGCTCCGGCGCCCGGTCCCCAGCCCACAGACGCCGGCGCAGGTGGGACTTCTCGGCCTCCTCCGTCCCCTGAGCCGGTTCCCACAGGGAGGCCCCTCCTGTCTGTCCAGCCGCACCCGGGTCTGTGAGCCCCGTGCTTCTGCGTCTCTGCAGGACACGGACTGACACCGTCCCAGGAGCGGCCATAGAGGGTCCCCCGCGGCCTCTGGGGGCGGCGAAGCCTCTGCGGGGGATGGTGTGTCTGCGACCCCCTGTGCTTCTCTCTCGGGGCCGCCCCCCATGCCACAGGTGTGTCCCCGAGCAGAGGGAGGGGCGCCGTGTGCCCACACAAAGACAGCAGGGCCCGCTGGGACGTCCCCGTGGGGAAGAGGACGGTGCCCAGGAAGGGCAGGGGTGGGACACTGTCCCCAGCTGTCTTCCGGCCCAGCGGTGGCCCTGTGTGTTTGGGGTGGGCTGGGGCGTCCCAGCTAATCCCTGCGGGAAGCGGCAGCCCAGAGACACAGGACAGGGCCGGCAGGGACAGACCCTGCACGGTGCCCTCAGGAGCCCTCCAGCCCCGCCGTGCAGAACGGGGCACCAGGGCCCTGCCCTGTGCAGCCTCCCCGGGAGCCCCCAGGTGCCCCAGGGGGAGACAGGCGGGAAGAGGACGCTGAGCAGGCCAGGTGGGAGGACGGGGAGGGGACAGAGGCCGGGCGGCACAGCAGAGCAGCGAGGCAGTGAGCAGGGGAGAGTGAGCCGCCTCCCTCGCTTCTCTGCCGCCCCGACCCCAGCCCACCTCTGCCCCCGGCCCTCCGAGCCCCTTCCCGGCCCTGGGGAAGTCCCCCACCCTGACCCCCAGCCCCGTCCTGCTGCCACACTCACCAGGCCCTGGTGACCCAACAACCAGTTCCGTGCCGGAGGCTGCGGGAAGCAGCGGAGGCGGCGGCAGGTGGCGTGGAAGGCGCAGGCCCAGGCCAGGACGCGGGCCAGGAGCCAGGAGGCCCCGAGCAGCAGCAGCAGCAGCCACGGGGAGGCGGCCGCGGGCCCCAGGCCCAGCCAGGACAGGCTCAGCTGGGGCATCCTGCAGGGCAGGCGGGTGCAGGGGCAGCTCCTGAGGCCCAGGGGAGGGAAGGGGCGCCAGGCCCGGTGCAGAGAGGGAGGGAAGTGGTGGGCGGGCTCAGAGATGGGTAAACAATGCCTGAGAGCTGAAGTCCAGAAAGGCCCAGCCAGAAGCTGCAGCCAACTGGCTTGCAGCTGTGGAGTAAACACCCAGAAAGGGACAGAGAGTGCTGAGGACAGTCCAGAAAGGCCCAGCTGAATCACTGGGAGGCTGCCAGGGGCTTGATCTCCAGGAAACCACTGTTCCCAGGGCCAGCTCCCTGGAGCCCCCCAGCCTTGGGCAGCCCCTCCCCATCCTGGGCCAGGACCCCCCCAGGCCCACCACCCCCAGGCCCACCACCCCCAGGCCCACCACCCCCAGCCTGGCACCTTCTCTCAGGAGCAGCGTGTGCACACAACCTCCTCTCCCCCCTGCTGGGCGGTCTTTGCCCCTAGAGGCCCTGGTGCAAGGAGGGAGGCAGGGCTGGGCTGGGCCAGCCAGTCCCTGCAGGCAGGGCCTCCTCCTCCCCTCCTGGCAGAGGCCCAGTGTTGGGGCGGGGAGGCAGCTTGCTGCAGAGAACTAGCTGGGAGGACACAGCCCAGGCACCGGATCCTCAAGTGCAGGGTGAGGGGCAAGTCAGGGGTGATCAAAGGGGGCTCAGAGCCCCAAGGTTTGCACACCAGGAGCAGCTGGTAAAGGCATGAACGTGCTTGCCTTGTCCCCGATCATCTCCAAGCTCAAGTAGAGCACCACGTGCCGTTTCTCAGTGCAGAATTCGGAGGCTCAGAGATGAAAGCCCAGCCCCCCCCCCAGGCTTTGCCAAATCTCTCCAGCTGCACTCGGCCACCCTGGCCTGGATCCTTTTCTCCTAATAGATTGCCTTTCCCTGTCTGGGTTCCAGCTCATTGCCTTCCCACCTTTGGCAAAGCTGCGTCGTCGCCTGGACTTGCGCGAGTCTATTTTCCGTGCGTCCTGTTCTGTCGCGTCGCCCTTCACGGACACCTCCACGTCCGGGCACCGAGCTCCCGCCGTCTGCCTGGAAGTTGGACAGTGTCAGCCCTCCGGCCCCGGTCTGCTCCTCCGAGACGGTGCTGCCTCCTGGGGGCCTTTTGTCTCTCCGCACGCTGCTAGCGTTCGCTTGCTGGTGTCCACAAAACAGCTTCCTGAGCTTTCTGTCGGGGCTGTGTGGAATCCACAGAGGAAGCTGGGAGGACCTGGCGTTCGGACAACGTGGAGTCCCCTGCTTCACTAGAAACGCCCGAGGAGCTCCCCGGAGCCCGGGCGGGCGGCTTCTCCCACTGCCGTGACCCGGTGCAGGGCGCCCCTGGTCTCGGGAAGCCAGGCGCCACGGGGACAGGCGGCCGCCCCCTCGCCCCCACGCAAAGCAGGTTCTTGGGGAACCCGGGGCTAAACCGTCCCTAGGGGACCCACGTCCGGGCCGGCGTGTCGTGTCGGCCCTGGCAGAGCGGCTCCCTTGGTGGGACCGATGGAAACTCCGCTGCTGACACCAGGGTTTGTCCCGCTGCCCCTGCAGCGTCTACACATCCCCATCCACCCTTCTCTCCGCCCCCCAGGGGCTCCAGAGGACGTGGGCTGGGAGGGCGCTGAAGTGGCAGCACAGCAGCGCGGAAAGCGCTGGGAGGGAGCAGGCCCGGCTGTCTCGTCCTGGGCTGTTGGCTGCGTGTGGTGTCGGGATGGCGGGTGTGTCTTTCACGGAAAGGGCTGGGTGCCCGAGGTCCACGCAGGTGTCATTGTGGGCTGAGTGACACGGCGCTTGGCGTCTTCTTAGCAATACCGTAGCCGGTTCACGGCAGGCTGGTAGATGAGACAGAATTGGTTCAGTGTTTACAACTATCGAAGCCGAGACATCGACAATCATTGTGCTTTTCTTCTACCTCTGCGTCTACTGGAAATTTCCACGTAAAATGTAATCAATGCAATTTATCTATTATTGACTGTTTAAAAAAGGAAAACATCGTTTAAGAAGAAAATCAGTGAAGCTGGAGTAGCAGGGAAACGTCTTATCCTGCAAAAGACAGCTCCTTATGAACCTTCCATAAATATCGTGTGAAGAACCTTCTATTCTAGATAAGAAACGATCTGAGCATTCCCACTCTTGTTTACTTCTCTTTAACATTATAATGGGGGACCTAGCAAAAGATGTGAAGAACAAACAGAAGATTGAACAGCATGATACAAAATTATCACAATTCACGGATGTTACTATGTTACTACGGTCCTACAGAGATACAAAAGAAGCTACACAAACAACTTTTCAGGATTTCAAAGTATGCACCAAGTTTTTTCCTTCCAAATCAGTATGTAAAGATTTTTTTTTTTTTTTTTGAGACAGAGTCTCGCTTGTTGACCAGGCTAGAGTGAGTGCCGTGGCGTCAGCCTCGCTCACAGCAACCTCAGACTCCTGGGCTCAAGCGATCCTTCTGCCTCAGCCTCCCGAGTAGCTGGGACTACAGGCATGCGCCACCATGCCCGGCTAATTTTCTATATATATTAGTTGGCCAATTAATTTCTTTCTATTTATAGTAGAGACGGGGTCTCGCTCTTGCTCAGGTTGGTTTCGAACTCCTGAGCTCGAGCAATCCGCCCGCCTCGGCCTCCCAAGAGCTAGGATCACAGGCGTGAGCCACCGCGCCCAGCAGTATGTAAAGATTTTAATGGCATTTTTATGCAACAAGAAGAAATGGGAAAAAAAAAAAAGAGAGAGAGAGAGAAACATGCAGAAAAGATTATGTTTACAATAGCATAAAATATATCAGGTATTCAAAACAAATTCAGGTATTTTTTTTTTTAACTTTCCTCTTCTACTGGAATAATTCAGGTATTTTAATGTCTTTAAGTGAAGAATCCACGAAGCTGGGTACAAACACATATAAGAGAAGACCCAAATAAACGGTTAGTTATAATCTATTCCTGAGTTAGAAACTCATATTATCAAGATGTCATTCTCACAAATGCTGTAAATATATATATATATTGAAGGAGAGACATGAGCGGGATGGTGGAGTAGGAGGTCCCAGCCTCTCTTTCCTCTACGAGGAGCAAAATTTGGCAGCTGGTCGCGAGCGAACCGAGCTCTGGAAGAGCTCCGGAGTCCACTTAGGAAGGTCCAACAACGCCGTGGACGATGGAACGAGGATAACCGCACGACAGGGGCGGAGGAGGCCTCGCCTGGGCTCATCACCCCTTCGCCCCGGGGTGAGCCCTGCCCAGCACCAGCGGGAAGTCCCTGGCTCAAGAGTGTCCCTTGCAGGGTACGGGAGAGCCCGCTGACCCGCTGGCACCCCCAGGCTTTTGGGGGGCACTGCTGGCGTGACTAGCTTGGATTTCGTCCGGCTGAGGCTGCTGTGGGAACCCGCACAGCCGCGCTGTCTGCAGACAGTGGGGAGAAAAGAAGGGAGGCGGGGGTTATCGGCGTCAGCCACGCAGCGTGAGCTGCCTGGTGCCCAGCGGCCGACTCGGCACAGGCCCGCAGCAAACGTCTCTGCTGAGCACCTCGGGGGACTCCTGGCCGCTGTGCGCCCCACCTCGCAGCGCGCCGGGGACCGAGGACCGGCAGCGATCCCCACTGCAGCGCCCGGTGGGCTGAACGCACGCGACCCTGGCGGCCTGGACCCTGGAGAAAGCAGCAGCAGGAGCGGCTCAGCAGGAGCGCACCTCCCGCACCTGTCTCCACTAAGACCCTTGACTGTTTTCCCCTTTCCAGTCTCCGGGCGCCTGAGCCAACACCCGTCCCTCCATCCCTCCCTCTGCCTTCTCCCTCCCCTCCCTCCTCTGCAAAAGCCCAGCCACCACCCTCCTCCTCCTCTTGGCTCTCTTTCCCCAGATTGTGCCCCAAATTCTTTTTTACTCCATTTCTCATGCAGATCAAAAATTTAAAGAACTCTCTTTCCACTAGCTTACACCTTTGCACCTGCGCGCTCTCTCTTTCTCTCTCCCTCTCTCTCTCTCTCCCCCTGTCTCTCTCTCTCTCTCCCTCTCTCTCTCCCCCTTTCTCTCTCTCTCTCTCCCTTTCTCTCTCTCTCCCTTTCTCTCTCTCTTTCTCTCTCTCTGTCCCTTTCTCTCTCTCCCTTTCTCTCTTTCTCTCTCTCTTCTCTCTCTCTCCCTTTCTCTCTCTCTCTCTCTCTTCTCTCTCTCTCCCTTTCTTTCTCTCTCTCTCTCCCTCTTTCTCTCTCTCCCTTTCTCTCTCTCTCTCCCTCTTTCTCTCTCTCCCTTTCTCTCTCTCTCCCTTTCTCTCTCTCTTTCTCTCTCTCTGTCCCTTTCTCTCTCTCTGTCTCTCCCTTTCTCTCTCTCTCCCTTTCTCTCTCTCTCTTTCTCTCTCTCTCCCTTTCTCTCTCTCTCCCTTTCTCTCTCTCTCTCTCTCCCTTTCTCTCTCTCTCCCTTTCTCTCTCTCTCCCTTTCTCTCTCTCTCCCTTTCTCTCTCTCTCTCTTTCTCTCTCTCCACTTGTATCTGACATCCCTCACTCAACTCAACTCAAAATACAATGTCCCGTCCATTTAGGGTCCATTATTCCATTCTTGTTTTTTTTTTTTCTTATATTAGGGGAAAATAAAATCTTTCTTTGCTTCCCCATGCAAGAAGAACCGTGTGCCTAAGTGCCCGGGCACACCCATGCAGTGACCCCCACCTGCCCACAGGCAGAAAACGTATTTATAGGCAGAGACAATTGCATGAAGTCCATCAGAATAAGTCACTGACAAGGGATTATGATCGCTTGAGCCTAAGCAAGAAGCGGGGGAAACGATAGCTAGCGTGTATTGTCTTTATGTTGAAAAAATAAAAGAAGAAAACGAGCTAGAAATATTAAAAAACAAATCAGTTAAGAAATATTCAAAATTAAATGATACCTTAAACATGGAATGTTAAAATTGTAACCTGAAACAGCACTTGGAGGAAAATATACAGCTCTAAATATAGTCATAAAAAAAACTTCATAAGGAAAAAAGAAATCATGCTTCATAAAACCAACCTCGAGTTCCTGGAAATGATAGGAACAGGGAGAAGATGGCAATAACAAAACCCCAAATGACAAACATATAAATGATTACAGACATATGGATATTTTTAAATTAACACAAGTAGTAAGGAAAAAATGTTAATAAATTTGACATTGTAGATGAACAAATTCTTAGAAAAATATAAAATTCTAAAACTGGCATAAGAAAAGAAATAGAGGATCCTGTATAGTCAAGTAAGTTTTAAAGAAATTGAAAAGATAGTCAAAGACATTCTGTCTCTCTAAAATCATTGCCCCACTGGGTTCTACTTAAATGTAGAGAGTTCTATTAAACTGTTAAGAAACAGCTGGTTAGTATTTTATACATGATCTCCAAAAACATAGAAAAGAGCTATGAAATCTGCCCAGTTCATCTCTTGAGGTTAATGCAACCATGGTCTAAAACCAGATAAGAATGTTTACCAAAAGAGACAATGATAGGCCCATCTCACCGATCCATGCAGATTTTAAGTTCCAGAATAAAACACAACCTAGTAAAATGCAATGGTGTATTAAAAATAGTTCATCGTGATCAAGTGGTATTGGTTTATCTCACAAATGGCAAGGACGATATAGCAGCAAAAAAACAAACTATGGCGATTTATCACTTGAATCAACTAAAAAAGAAAAACAATGTGATTATTTCAATCAACGCCGAAATACATTTTCTAAAATTCAACTCCTATTTATGATATTTTTTTAAAAGCCTTCTTCGCAGCCCCAAATCAAAGGGGTCTTTCTTAACTGGTAAAGAATAGATACCACAAAACTAGCAAATTCTTCACTCAGTGGAGAAATGTCAGATGCATTCTTTTAGGACCAAGAACAAGCCAAGGGTACCCACCAACTGTGCTGTTCTTTAACATGGAACCGGAAGTCATGAGTGATGTTATAAGGAAAGAGAAAGAAGAAAGATATATAAGGATTAGAAGGGAAGAGACAAGCACGTCTAAGAGAAAAGATAAAAGAATCGAGGCGAAATATATTAGAACAATAACGGCACGCGCAACGCTGCAGATGGCAAGATCAACTTTGGCGTCTCAAACAGTATGGCACCAGGAATAGCCATTAACAAAGTCTATTATTTAAATGAGAAGCAAGATAACATTTCCAATAGAACACAAACGGTGGAGAAACATCTCTCAAACACTGTGTTCTCAGGATCACTGTACACCCCCCCCCCAAATTATTGACTGCCCTAAAGGAACTTTGTTTAGATAGATCTGGGAATTCTCTATGGTTCTTGATCAATATTTCTACAGATCTAACATTTCTCTAATAAAATAAGTCCATTCATTATTTTTTTAAAAAAATTTAAGATAATTTGAAAATATACGTGCACACAGAAAGCAATGTGTATCTTACAAGAACATGCACAAATCAAAAAGGACACATACGTTCAGTATCTTAGCATCTCTGTCGAGAAAAAAGAGAAGGGAAATGGAGTGAAGGAAAGGTGGTCCATAAATGAAATAAGAAAAGGAGCTTCTGCAAACCCATGGTCATCAAAAACCACAAACCGGAACGATCATGGACTCAAACCTCTGCACCTGAAACCTACCAGAAAATAAAACAAAAAAAACACGTTTACAAATACCTTGAGCCACTTCTCTAAGAAGAGTTGCTGAAATCCTTGGACAGGACCACCTGTCATTTCTCTTATCAGGGCATCGTCTCCCCAGTATTCCCCCAGCAGGGGGCAGCCTGGAGCTTGGAGGACACGGAATCACCTGGACCGAGGAGGAAGTTGAAACACACACAAGCCATGGAGCCACCAGACCCGGGGCTCCAACCCCAGCTCCCACTGTGTGACTTTGGAGAAGGAACTTCCAGCTCTGAGGGTCCTCTGCCCAACCGCAAGCACGGGGGTGACCAGAGAACCGCCCCCGGAGAGTCCACAGAGGGCTCGGGTAAACGGCTCAGGGTCCACCCGATGCACGGAGCCGTCACTGGCTCCCACATAGTTTTCCGGCTCCTGAGCTGGTTGGTTTGCATCCTTGGGTACCAGATGTCACTCTCTGGCCCCCTCCTGAACTCAGGGGCTCTGACTGCAGCGGGGCCCTTAGGACCTCTGGTAATGTCACAGCAGTTTCCCCAGGGGCTGGTCCAACCGTCACCCTCTCCCCAAGCCCCTGCCTCACCCCTGCGGTCTGCCTTCCCACCCCCTGCTGGGTAGAGCACCCAGGGCTCTCGGGGCCGGGCTCCCCCATCTCTTCCGACAGGCGGCAGAGCTCTGTCTGTCCGTTCTGGTCTCGCTGAGAGTGGCCCCCACGCAGGTGCCCAGCAAACACCTCACAGC